AAAATAGAAGCAATATTGTAAAACAATATACCTTGCATGTAATATTGTAATGTAAAAGGTTTCCCATGAAAACATGTATTATAAAAAGACTTCTTTTTAATTGTTTTGATCAAGACTAGAATATTTTTTGGGTGTAGATTACAAAGACTGAATGAGCCACCATTTTGCAGGAGTGGCCGTTGGGTGCGGATGGCAAGCAACTGTGGCCTATGTTAACGTGGGCTGTTATTATGGGGTTGGAGTTCCGCTGGGTTGTGTTTTGGGCTTTACGTTCAACCTTGGTGTCAAGGTAACATTGTACTGGCCCGGTCAATCTTGTTAAGAAATAAGAGAATTATTTTTCCTACAATTTCTTTTTAACTCTTACCGTCTTTTTTCATATTACTTTTAAAAATTGTGATATTAAGAGTTATTCATTTTTTAATTTAAAACATTAGAAATATTTAATAAATAGGTAAATCAATAAGATGTTATAGGAGGATTCATAATTATTCGAAAAATATATATTTGGCTATTTGGATAAAGTCTAATTTTATGATTTTCTTTTCTTTTGAAGTCTCTAAATTTAGGATTGAACCCCCCTCTTAAGTGGGTGCACTTCAAAAGATAAAATACACTTATCCTTGTTAATTAAAAAATCAATAATTAATATTTTTAAAAATTCATAATTTACATAAACGCATGCATTTCTTTACTTTAAACCATTAAATTTTGAATTTTGTTGAGTTAATTACATTTTCTCTCTTAAAAGATGCATATATTACACTTCCTTTCCTTCTATTTAAAATTATATAACTCCCTCCGTTAAAAAGTTAAAATACATAACAATTTAATTTATTTTGTTAAAGCACTGTTGAAAAAGAAACCATAATCTAATTTTTATTAAAAAAAATTACCTATCATCTAATCTTTATTTGTATGTTTTAATTTTCTAAATCTTTTAATACTTTACCTTTTTCATTGAATGTGTTAAAGTTGTAAGTGGTTTATATCTTATTTGTTTTTATTTAAGGTAATAAACTTTTTAGTTTTTATTTTATTATTTTATATAGAAACAAATTTTTAAAATTATTATAATAATGACAAGTTTTTATTGTTCCATTAAAAAATACATTGAGATTTTTAAAATATTGACAAAAATAGTGTAAAATTTATTTAAAAAATTATTTTAATTGAAAAATTGTCAAACAAGTGTTTAACAATGCTTTAACTAAAAACATAAAATGGATTAAGTTGTGTTGCATCAATCCTAGTAAAAGAAAACGTGACTCTGATCAAACAAATTATAATTGATGTTTTTTTTATTATATTTGATACAGGGAATATGGTCCGGCATGATAGGGGGAACAGTGATGCAGACTCTCATTTTATTATGGATCACATTTCGAACTGATTGGAATAAAGAGGTAAGATTAATTTAATTTCTCTAACTTTAAACGTCATTATATATGATTAGGCATCATTGTTGAATATTCAACGTTAAGATGCACAAACGGGAGATCACTGATTCACTGACTTGCTCGGAGTCCAAATTTTAATCTAAACCGCTAATCTTAGGTCAGGATTAATTTATTTCTTTTAAAGCGAATAATTCACTTCAAAATGAAAACTTAGTAACTATTAATTTACAGTTAGAGCTCAACATAGGTTACTAAAGTAAGATAAGTAAGTAGGGCTATATTTCAATATTCTTAATTAATTACATTGGTTTATTGTTTAGTCCTATTTTCCCTAGAGGTATTTTAGACATCCCAAAATACCAAGTTTTCATATATTTTTTATAGTTCAATTATTTTTTAAATAATTTGATTACAGGCTTTTTGTGTATATGATGGTTATCATAATCAACCTGTTTTAGCGATAAAACCATGATTAATGAATTAATGAAAAGATATAATATTTCGCACAGATAGTTAAAAAAATTAAGTCACCATCTATAATAATGGTACATTGGAACAATATGACGAATGCAGGTGAATACAGCAAAGAAACGATTGGACAAATGGGAACACAAGGAACCTCAGGTCCAAAGCTGATATATATATATTAGGGGCTACTGCTACCAGGAGAACATCTATGGCCCAAACATAGAACCAAATCTAAGTGAGATACGATCTCTACCACAACAAAAGAATAATTATTGTGTTAGTGGTGAGACCTCTTCGCGTCATGTTCTTGATCACTGGATCATTGGTTTTTTTGTAACATAAAATTAATAGCTGTAATTTTGTATTTTGAGTCTTTATAGGAAAAAAAAATATAAAAGAAAGAAAAAATGATTTCTTTTTTGTATTTTCCAAAACATGTCTTGGGATTTCGCATGTAATAACACGTCTAAGATGATTTATGGGTTAAACTAAGTTGTGTTCTTAATGGCTTTTGAGCAAATTTGATGAGATGCGACAAATTAAAGCAATTTGATATATTGTTGATAATGAATCTTTGCCCATGCTAGTTTTGGTGATTTCATACAAGGTTAATTTTTTTATTTGCGGATGAAAAATTAATTTCATCAAAACACATAAAAATGAGACACTGATGGTGGATGATGGTGACGTGAGCTATACAATAGTGTTATTTGTCAACTTCAAAGAAATGAAATCACACTCAAGAGGCACGAGAGCCCTGAAAACTCTTGCCCCACAGTTGACTTTGGTCCTATTCAGAACCTCCAAAAAAAACGTGAAAGCATGCTTTCTAATAGTAAATGGTGGGGTGGGATCGATGGAGAAAGAAAGAGTTGGTTTTTCAAAGAAACTGTGTGCTATGCATGAACCGCGCGATTCTGCATGTCTTAATTTTCAGATTCAGAGCTACCTAATTTTAATATTATTTTGTTAATATCAGTTTCTATCATTACTGTTAAATATTTAAAAGTAGTAAGATTTTATTAGAAAAATATTTATTATATTAAAAGTACAATAATTTTAAAAAATGAATTCCTATTATTTTTTATTCTTTTAAAAAAATAACTTTAAGGATTGATATTAATAAAACTATTTGACTAAAGTTGGTTAATTAATTAGTGTTTCCTAGGAATGGTCCAACGAAAGAAATATGAAATGAGACAAGAGAGAAGGTAATTTGTTTGACAGAGAGTTTACTAGTCTGAAGATTCCAAAAGAGTGTTCAATGAAGGCTTCTTAAGTTTAGTGAAAAAATTGCAAGGCTCAAGATCTTAAAAAACAAGGTCAATACTGAAAGTAACCAAAATTTTCTCACAAGGAATAATTCTTAATAGAGAAAACATAGAAGATGTGGGAAGAGAAAGATTTAGTAGCCAGGCTGGGTTCTTGCAAGACAGATGGGTGCAATTGCTTGCAAAGACCTGTACATAACTAATTATTTAATGGAAGAGACTGTGCAGAGAAGTAATAGTTGCTGGGTCAGTAAGGCAGTGCAGTGGAAGATGTACTTGACTAGTTGACTCTTTCACCAATAATCACCAATAATTATTGCCATTAATACCTGCACTAACTTTCACACCAAGTTTGATTTTTTTTTTTTTTTTAATTTTATATCTACTTTGGATCTTAGAAAGAAAGAATCCCAACTTACTTGCGGTCATGTTTAGGGATTCGGATTAAGAATCCAGATTTTTAGGAATAAGATAAAAAAAAATAGTAGGATATTGAAGTTAGATAAAAATAAAATATATAAAAGCAGGATTAATTTTTATTTTATTGCAAAGTTAATTTATATTAAAATAATAAATTAAACATATTATATTATTTATTTTTTACGTAGGTTGTGACTTTTACGTAAGATAAATTTTATATTAAAAATTAATAAAATAAATTTATTATATCCATTAATTAAATAAATATTACAGAAATAAATTATTTTATTCATCTTCCTCGTCGAGAGAAATAAGTATCTAAGAAAAAAAAAACCTCCTATCTTTTATAATTGAATAATTATAATATCCTTTCAGTTGATTGATCAGAATGAAATTTCTTATTAGGGGAGGCTTGTGATTATCTCTATTAATATCGCACACAAGTGGGAATAAAATGGACATTGAATTGAATAGGATAGTCTTTTCCTCAGGTCTTTATTGTATCAGTACAACGTGTTCCAGATTTGATGGGGCATAGGATGTTATTTAGTATTTACATAATACATAATCGAATAGCAGATGGCAACTACTGTTAGAAACTTAACTACCGCACCGCCCAGTGCCCACACCAATGTCATGTGTCATTTTCATGATTATTACTCTTCAAATCTGTGAATTGTGACTTGTTTATACCCACACATATCATCATGTGTAGCGTTTCAGATTTCAATTTTAAACTTTAGAAGTAAATAGGAGAAAAGGGTAGTTTTAAATTTAAGTATTTAATTTTTATTAAAAATCTTATAAAATACAATGACTGCAGTGTCGGAGGGAATGGGAGACTTTGCAGTCATGATCCCACAAATTTTTACATATATGAAAATTTGTGTATAATACTTTCTACACGTTTTTCTCACAGGGCAAAAGGTAATTAAAAATGAAAAATAATATAAAGGTAAAGATTGTATTGACAGTTGTTGTTTATACATTTAATTGTGCAAGTTTAAAGTATCCTTTCCTGGTCATTAAAACTTTCATGGATGACAAACTTCAACATAATTGCATATTTAGCTACGCAAACTCAATTAAGATGACTAATTAATCTAATATAATTAACCCGTCAGTTGATAAACTATGATATAACCTCGATATTATATCCTGTTTAGTTTATAAATTTTTAATAATATTTATTGCTCCCCTGTGAAGTCCCCAAACTTTTCAATTCATTTTCGTAAAAGACATATCCTCCGCTAATGAGTGCAGCAATGAAAACTAATTGACAAGGGACAAAAATTGCCGCTTCATGCACTTCTGCAACGTAGTTCATAATCTGAAAGAGCCATAAAGGGATAGATAGAAAAAGAAAGAGCAACAACTCAATTGATCTTTGGGCAGAAGTAATAAGATTTCACTCATTTCTATGCTAAAGAAAACTGGGAAGAAAACACAAGTAAAGATGACATTTTATTACAAAACATCATTTTCCTAGTAATATTTTTACACACACATACACATCATTTGATAAGAGGAGGAAGGCTTATAAGGGTTGTTTGTCTTCCTCCACCAAACAATCGCTTCCATGTTTTCACATGACTCATAAAGTGTCCTTGAATGCCAACTTTAGCTGAAGAAACACCTGACATAATTCTCTTCCTGAGCTTCCTTAACCTTTTTCCAATCTTCACCTTCAGCTTAGATATTCTGATCCTCATGCATGATGGTTTTCCACGTGAATCTGCTTTCTCCAACACTTTGTAGATCAAGAACTGTGCCCGTCTATGAATTATCTCTTCAGGGTCTTCCTTATTCATCTTTGAATAAGCATATGGTCTCCTACATAGAGCCATTTTTCTATTCACTTTGTAAGAGAGTGGAAGAGAAAGAGGTAGATGTGGCCTGCAATGGCTACAATCATAGACAAGGGTTGAAAGTAATATTTATAGTATAATTTTGGGTGGTGGTGCTAAGAGAGGGGGGGGGGAGGGTGTGGGACCATCAAGATGTCATACATGGTGATGAAGCAGTCATGTGCACTAATTTTTTTGTTGAAAAATAATGGACATGATGACTGTTCCTGAACTGGCTTATATCATCATTTTGTGTAAATTAAACCATGCCCTCAAATAGAAACTGCCTTGGAAAAAATAAGAGCTTCAAACATAATTGAAACATTAAGTAGTGCAACCCCAAGTGTAAACTTGCATGAATGCTGTCCTTTCTTGGTTTGTCTATTGGCTGGTAAGTAAAACCTGCATGAAATGTCAAAACTCAAAACTTTGCTTTTAATTTTTTTAATACTAACGGATAATCTCATCAGCCACTATTTTTTTTTTTTAATAGTTCGGTTTAGTTAGGAAAAGTAGGAAAGGGAAAGTTTCTAAATTGTTTTGAATTTGAACTTTGAGATGTGAGATTAAATTTGATTTAGTAAGGCAAATAAGTAAACGGAGTGAGCTCATTGACGTCCTTGGGCTAAGGTTTGGTTGATACTTTTAACAGTGTGGTGGCATAAGCAATATTTTTATATAGGCAACAATACTAATTTAAATAATGAGACGTTGACCGCAATAATTGTCACTTATTTATTAATATTATTTTGATTTAATAATGCAATTACTAATAAAAAGGTATTTTAAGATGAGTCAATAATACAATTTGTAAATACGTATAAAAATGATTTTAAATAGATCATCTATCTTACAAAGAATAGTTTGTAAGTAAATAAAAAAATATATATAAATAGGTTTATATTAGTTGTAAAACTATTAAGACACATTGTCTTCACCTACTTGAAATAAACACTTGTAAGATAAATCATAAGGGATCAGATTTGACATAACACGTTTAGGTGCAGATGCATGTGTTGATCTTATAGATGTGGTGTGAATGGCATTTCTAATATCACCGACTAGAAAGAGCATCACGATGCCGCTAAAGAGGGTATACATAGATACACACACTTTTGAAATTCAACCATTTATTTAATCTAATTGCTGCGCTGGTTGCATTCTTTCTTGTTGCAGAAGCTCTTTAGTCAAAAGTGCAAGGAGACAGGCATGAGGCTTGCACAGTATAGATCAGACCAATTTTCCACCGGCATGAAGGATCTTTGAAATCGGTAGAGAAATTTCCACTTTCATTTATAGTAAGATTTCTTGATGCAAAAAGTAATGGAAAGGGAAAAGAGTAACTAATCTTTGAAAAATAAATATCTTTCAAACCTTTATATATTTTTTTCAAATCTTTTTTTTTTTCACATTTTATTTACAAAAAGGGAAAAGAGTAACTAATCTCACTAAACTTTATCCTAAACACCTTAAACTTTAATTTTATTTGAATTGATTCATAAATCATTTATTTACCTTACATCTTAATTATTTATTAATTATTTTATTATAAGTTTTCTTCTGAATATTAAAGCATGATAAAAGTTTTGAATTTTAAAATAATTCACGCAAAAAGAAAATAAAAGTATATACCACTACTAACATTAATTTTGAAAGAAGTAAAGTGAAAAAAATAAAAGGAAGAAGAAACCGTAAAACATATGTACAGGGCCTTACCTAGATTTTTAAGTCAAAAAAGTCTATCGGATGATCACAACCTCCGAAAATTGACAGTGATTTCCTCATTTTCCTTAATCTCTCTAACCGAAGCTAAATGCATCATCATCGTTACCAGAATTTAGAAGAATAAGCTCCGTTCGAATAGAAAGATATCGGCGGTGGGAAAACTCCGTTCGAGATAGAATGATAAAATAGAAAAATATAAGATAAAATAAATAATTTAATGAATAAAAAAAATAAGTTATAGAAATGAGAAAAAAATAAAAATATAAAATAAAATAAAAATTAATGAATAAAAAAAAGAAAGGAAATACGTTATGAAAAATATTGTAATTTATAGAGTTAGTTAACCACTCATAGCATTATGGCTTTTATCTCTTTTTCTTTTTAATTTATCTACAGATATTATTTATAAAAAACAATTTTCTACAACATATAATTAAAGATTAACTATCAACGTCTCTCCGGACTGAAATTTAAACTTAGTTTACCACTTACAAGAACACTAATCTCTTTCACTAAATTTTATCCGTAAAGTCTTTAAATAATCAATTCAATCTGAACTACTTTTGGAATAATTGAATCAAATTTAAATTAAAAAACAAACTAATTAAGATAAAATAAAAAGATATTTATCAGATACCCTCATAATTTAGGAGGTTAAGATACCTTCTTTATATGATCAAATAGATTAATTACAAGTATATTAATGTTATATTATTATTAAAATAAAGATTTCAAATATTACAATATAGCCTTCAATTAAATTTTGTTATCAAACCAAATGTCCTTCACTGACGCGTTTCTAAATTTTAGTGATCCTCAAATCCTCATTCTTTAGAGTTTGGGAAACAATTGCAAAACAGTGTTTATGCATATTGCAGAACATGCACAATTTTGGTAAAACAATGTTTGATTCAACAATGAATGGCAACGACATTTACACTCATCAACATTTTATCCAAAACCTGCCATTGCCTTTTTCTCTTCCAATTTCTTCATACCGAGAAGAAACGTAAATATTGGTGGAAATCTTTAATCCTAAAAAATTTTATAAGTTACGAATACCTTTATTAAACTTTCGTGATAGAAAATAAACTATGTATTTTCGAAGAAAAACATATCTCGAAGACCAGTAGTATAGACACATCTTTTGACTTAAATAAAAAAGAATCATAGGCTCCTATATTCTGATGAAACGAAGACTCGTGAAAAATTTAAGTTTAAAATTCTTCTCGAAAGGAAGGCCATATTTTGAGTAGTTTTGAAGAGTCATGAAATATTAAAAAGAAGATAATCTTTCGAGAAATTTTTTAGGATATTTAAGCCCCTAGAAGGGAGCCAAAATTGATCGAAAAATAAAAACTAACATGAAAATTATTTTAAGTTCATGAGACTGAATGAATTACTAAATTTTTTCTAGAATTGGTCAAATAAATAGGAACTGACAAAAAAATTATTCTAAATTCACAAGATTGAATGAACTCCCAGATCTTTCTTAGAATTAGTTAAAAAATAAAAACTGACGGAGAAATTATTTTAAGTCCATAAAACTAAATGAGATATCAGATTCCCTTCAAAATTGGTGAAAAACAAAAGATGACAAAAAAATAATTCTAAGTTCACAAGAGTTTTCGACAATTTTTCTCATAATTGTCAAAACATAACAAGAAATTTATTCTAATGCCAAGATACAATATGGAGTCCAGGAGGCGAGTAAATGTGACAAAAAATCACAAGACTCGAACAAAGTTTAAAATAGTTACTATTAGCAATTACCACCAGTTGAAGGTCATAGACACACAAAAAAAAAGATCGTAGGCACGAAAAGATGATCGTAGGTAACAACAATTATTGAGAAGTCACAATCATTAACATGATCATAAGCAGTTGTAGAGTTGTAGATAATGGGCAACAGCAGTTGAAGACAATCACGCACATGAAGTAGTTATTAGAAAATACCTACAAAAGAAGGAGGGCAGTTGAAGATCATTGCCTATAAATATTATAAAGTTTCACATTTTCTGAAAATTGTACCCAAACATTGCACCTAAAACCCTACATATTAAAATCCTACACTAGATTAGACACCAGCTACCTAGAGACACACTACTATTATTGTTTATTATGGAAGTCATTTATTTTTTTACACATTTATATTTTTGCATTCTATTTTTCAGTTTAATACATTTATATAATTTCTTTTACACTCATTGTAATGTTATTTCACTATTATACTATTCCTGCTCAATTACTTACTTTAAGTCAATTTCATTATCACGTTAACGACGTACTTAATAAAAAAAAAACTTAAAATTTACTCTTAAATTTATTTATTTACAATATACAATTTTTACCGTAAACAAGAGCAACGGAAACCTTGTAGGCATCTCCTTCAACAACGTGGTGATTACTAAAGTTGAGTGTGGACGAAGTCGAAGTGCGATAACATCTGTAGGCAGGTCGATAAGAATTTTAATGACAAATATTAAAAAGCTTAAATTATTTGTAAGGACTAGAATGTAAAATCTTATAAAAGCAAATTTTAACAAAATAATATAACATCGTTAATACACGTGGCAGTGACATTAATCTATTTGCATAAAGGGATACCCTAAATAATGAGTATGAGGAGGAGCTGGATAATAATAAATAAATTTAACTTAAAACACCAATCCAACCAAACTAAAACAAGCCTAACAAAACGAAAATTTTCAATCAGCTAATTATAGATCTCTATAAATCGTAAACCATTAGTGCATGATAGATTTTACTTCTAGTTAAATCTAAAATTTTTCCTAGAACAAGTATGTGTTAGCAAAATAATTGATCCATCAAAAACCCATCTCCAATCTAATCTAGAAAACAATCCTAACAAAATGACAATTATCACCACCTGAATATCAAAGTACAAACATCGCAAAACCAAATCGAACGCATAATAGATGGAGATCATTTCATAGAATTAAGCATCCAACAAGCAATTTTTATGCATACAACCAAAAGACGGTTCCGATAAAATTTTGATGTTACTAGCAATCAAAGGGGAAAAAGGGTAAAAAGGGAGCAGAGTCGGTTTTCGACGAGACAAGAGGAGATACGCAACTCGATAAATATCATAAGATTACAAAAGATCAGAAATATGTAGTGACTTCTCAACTATATCCTATTTGCTGCTGTTGCTGAGGTGGTTGGTAACTCGGATACCCCGGATAACTGCCATACATGTTGGGATCCTGTCCAGCTGGAGCATAACCATAATTTTCATAACCTTGAGCATATCCATAATATCCAGCACCATTCCACTGGTTTGGATCTGCCTGAGCCTGAAACAGAGAAAGAAGTCATTAACAAGAATTGGAAAGACATTGATGCCAAATAAGCAGAGTTACAAAGCTCGTTATAGTTACCTGTTTGTTTGAAGGACTACGGCCCCATGAAAGACGAACATTCTGTCCACCCAATAGTGTCCCATTTAAAATCCGTAGAGCCTCTTCAGCACAGCTCCTAATAAAAGAAAAATCAAGGCACAATCAGAGTGATGCCTTACCTAGAAAAGAATATCGGACAAGGTAAATATCAAATATTGAAGAGGTTTTGTTACCTGTCTGCAAATTGAACAAACCCACATCGCTTGCCAGCTGGTATTTTAACATGAACTAATTCTCCATACTGGCTGAAAACTTGCCTCAGATGATCATCAGTGACATTAGGATCCAAGTTGCCAACAAAAATCTGCAATTACAATTCAAGTTACAAAAAAGTTGAAAAGAAAGCAGTTTCTATATTGCAAAGAATACGCACAGTTGTGTTATTTGGATCATTCTCGTTCTGGGCACCTTGAGGATTCTGATATGAAGCTGCATGTTCAAGACATAAGTGAAGTAAAAAGATGAATTATCCAAACATGCAAGGTAAGCAATTCATGGAAAAGAAATGAAGAACAGATAAAACATGTACCAACTAATATTGTAATATTCAAATGTCCAATTTATTGATAAAATGAACAAAAATATTTATCTAGGTGAAATTTTTAGCATGCAAATATTTCGAGAGTAATATCAGGAGCAACAAAAATATAGTCAATGCCTTAATTTTACAAACATCATATACCTTAAAATAAGAAAAGATAAATATATACAACAGAAATAAAACAATTCGACAGAATAAATAAACTCATCAGTCAACAGGAGCATGTGTAGAAAATAATAGAGAGAAATTTTGAGAAGACACATGGTCAGGTGCCATACATGCACCACACATATTCCAAATATAGTCACTATTAACCAACATAAACGAAATCAGCAAATATTTTAACCGTGGATTCCAATAAATTAGAGTAATTCAACCAAGCTAAATATATAATGACAAGCACAACTACAATTAGGATAAACATACCGGTTAGGCAAGAAGCAAATCCAAAATCACAATCAGAAAGGAAGAAAGACAGAATTGGACAAGAATAAAAAAAACATATATGCCACAAATAATACACAAACACAACCTATAGATACAATCTTGAACTTGATCATCCTCACAACCCTATATCTAAAATTTCCAGCACTTACAGAAAAGATATCAACAAGGGTTTAAAAGACCATGCTAAAAGGAATGAGCAATATAAAGTAAATTACAACTTCAATTGCATGGGATTGCACTCAGAAATGGGAACAACAGAACCTAATCATGAAAATACGAAACCACAAGGCAACAAAAACATAACCAGCCAGCAAAAGTGTAGTTTCTGGAAAATCAAAGTAATTAACACCCGCCTCAACAATTTTTTCCTCATGGATTGGAGATAGGAAACTGAAATTAAGAGGGCATCTGATAGAAGAACAGAAGAAATTATTAAAAGTAAATAAGATCTTCTTAGGCACAAGGGAATGCTACAAAAGAAAGTCAAAGATGTAGTTCTTATGGCAAACTAATAGGAGTAAATTAAAGGAGCAAAGATTAAGAATGGGGGACTGAAAGATAACTAACCAGAGAAGTTGCAAATGTAATTGAGTTAAAACTAAACCAATAAATGGAATGGAAAGAACTTGAAACTGTAGGCAAAAAAGAAAATGCCACAAAAAATAACGGGCAAAACATAAACTGGTAACTGACCTAAGCAAGGGTATGCACTAAAATGGTAACCATTTCAGCTGAAATCAGTTCCAGGCTCCGAGATGACAGAGCCTCTTGACACCCTGCTTTGAGACAACAGGAGTTCTATAAGATTTTATTATTATATATAATTTATTTAGCCCAAATGTTTAAAGGAAATTGCAGGAAGAAACGAGTTTGGACTGCAAATCTTCAAGTGCTTAACTGAAAAGAATCATAACTTAAAAAAATTATAGAACACACCACAAAGGATATGTGAAACATAACGCCTTAAATTCAACCAGTACCATTCATATAAGAAAGACAGATAAATTTTTCTTTAAGCAACATATCAAACAGACATTTGCAGCAAAAAGGACAAACAACATAAAGAAAGAGACAAACCTTTAGGTTGAGTGGTCGGGTTTTTGTTAGTGGCTGGTCCAATCCTCATAGGTCTTGTTGAGAGAAGAACACCTTGCATCTCAGACATAGCCCTCACTTGCTCACTTTCATCTCCAAACCTTACAAAGCCATACCCCTTGGTACGGCCAGTGAGCCTATCAATCACAACTTTAGCACCCTTCACCGAGTTATAACGACCCCTAAATGTCTCCTGAAGGAGGTAATCAGTAACATCTGCAGCCAAGTCACCAACAAATACGGTATAATCAGGAGTATCATCATGCCGCCTCTCACCAGCACTAAAAGTTGCCCAATTCAACCTGAAACTCTGCCCCCCATTCGGCATAATTGCTCCATTATATGTTTGAAGAATTCTCTCAGCTGCAGCACGACTATTAAACTCAATAAACCCATATCCTTCTGATTGACTAGTTTGTTTATTCCTAATCACTTTAACAGACGTCACCTACAAACCAAGAAAACCCTAACTTCAGCAAAACACCAAAACCCTTCTACAATCAACTAGTCACGTAAAAGAAAACCCTAAATTGGTAAAAAGAGACCAAAAACCTAAATTTACACAGCAGAAAAAACCTTGATTACAAACAGAGAATACAAATCGTAAAAAGAAAAAGGATTATACCTCGCCAGTGTGAGCAAAACAAGTATATAGATAGTTTTCGTCCATCCAGTACTGCAAATCACCGATCCACAGGGTACGGACCTCGTCGGCGCTGGCGGGCTGCGACGGATGTTGGGCGGAGGAAGCGGCCCACTGCGGCGGTGGCGCCTGAGCTTGCGGCGGCATCATAACGTAGGGTTGCTGTTGCTGCTGCTGATACTGTTGCGGTGGTTGTTGCCCCATGCTGGGTGGAGGCATGCCAGGTCCCGGCTGCATCATCTCGCTCAGCAAATCTGAAAATTCTAGAGAGAGAAAGAGAGAGAGCGAAAGGGGCAGCAACGAGAGAGAGAAAGAGAGAGAAAGAGAGTGTTTCGATGCCCTTTAAAGAACGCTCAAACCCTAACCCTAAAATCAAAAGGAAAGGTGCGTGTTGAGTGGTGATGCTATGGATGATGATATTAGGAATGGGCATTAATATTTTTTTTTAAAAAAATAATTGAGTGATTGATTTTTATCGTTTCGTAATTCGGTGGTGCATTCTTATTGGCTACTTCCTCAAAAGTGATTGATGTCTCTTACTTAACGTATACGAACAAAATCGCCGTTATATTTGACGGAGATCGTTTCCTGACCGTTGATCATTTGGACGGTTTCGATTTTGCGATGGGAGTTCCGAGCTCACGGACGCCAAATGAGAATGCCCGCATGTTATTATTTCACTAAAGAGTTTTTGTCTGAAAATGAAACGAATCAGAATTGAGCCTTGGAGCTCAACACGGTCACTGTTGTGCGGGCCTGGTATGAAACAGAAAGCTCTCATTTTATTTATTTTTTTGTTTTCTGATTGAAAATTTGAAACTATTAACCTTTTTCAATGGCTGTCATGGTTTTGGGTTTTCCTTGTGCATAAATTGAATGGTTATTGAATTGGTAAAGTGTGTGAGTGATGTACCAATTGATTTTTACTTTTTGTATAATGAGAATTTGGTTTACTGAACTGAAGTAGAGTTATGAAAATTTGTGATCTTGAGATTAGGGTTATTGTGTAATTTCAAGTGTTGAAGTTGATAGATTTAGTGTCACTGAAGTAAGGTGAAGTAGTGAACAAGAGGATCTGTCAAATGGATTTGCATTTGAAGAGCTTGTTTGATAGATTTCAGGAGCAGTTTGGGTCTGGTCCTGGGCTGGGTCCTGGATCTGGGACATGCTTGATGAAAGTGGATGGCATTGTTCCTAATTTCATTAAATCTATATACAAAGCTTCTGCAGCATTGTATCGAACTGAACCGTGGAAAAGGCTGCGTCCAGGGCAATTGTTTGGCATCCGGGTTGGAAAAGATTCGGATTGGTCTGGCAAGAAACAACCTTTTCCATGTGTTCAGTTCATTGGAGGGGATGGAGGGGATGTTGGGTTCTACATGTTTAGATCAGAAAATGATGCTAAGAAAATGACAGGGCCTAGAGAGACCATTCATGTCCCAAATGTTGAGCTTCTCAGGGTCACATATGAAGTGGAGTCTTTGATGTTCCCTTCTAACCGCAAGATGATAAAGTCTTTGTCATTGGAAGCATCTGGCTCGGATCGATTTCCTGTTATTGATGTTGCCCGATGCACTCATTCTGGTGATCTTAGGTTTAGAAATCCAACCCTTGAGGAGCTTAGGTTTGTCTATGCATTCATGAAAGCCATTTCTCTGGTTCACACTTTGCTTCAGGCTGACAGGGAAAGTGGTCCAAAGTATTCAACAGTGGTATATTTTGAACCTTTCATAGAGACAGTTGATGTTCAATGGCCTCCAGAAGTAACAAAGGGAGGTCATGACCTTGTTGCTGTTACTATCTCACACCCACCGGGTCAAGCATATGAAGAAAAACCTAGTAGTGTGAGTGCTGGCTCAACCCCAACCAAGTATGTAGAACCACCCAGGGAGGACACTTTCAGTGACACAAAAGCGTACTCAAGTGCTGGCTTGAGACAGTGTGCAATGTGTGAGAAAGAAGAGCATGGAGAACAGACTCTTTGTTGTGGCCGGTGTAGAGCAGTTGTATACTGCAGTTCTATCTGCCAGAAGCAGCACTGGAATGACACACATAAAAGCATGTGTGGACTTTACAAGGCCATGATGGAAAGGGGGGAAGAGCTGGCGATAAATATTTTCTTGTTCCCATGTTCTGCTGACCAGCCTTGCAAGTGGCTTGAATCATTAGGTATCCACCAGAAGGGTATGTGGAGGAGAAAGTGCAGTTGCTACTCACACTGCCCGTTTGGTCTCCTTCCTGTGAAGGGTGGGCTGCAGGAACTCTGGGGTGGACTTGATGAATTTGAATACCCTCATGACTCTTCATTTAATAACCATTTCATTTCAAGCCCATGTCTTCTCTCTGGTTGGTCCGAGTACTACAACCTTCGCTCCCTTCCATTGTCAAGTCCTGTTGCTGACATTCTCTCGCATCCATTGACCGTGTATCACATACTAACTACTCTTAATATAAGTTCAAAAAACCTTATACTCAAAGGGAAGGAGGTGATTGTTCACTACCTTGGACCTGAAGGTGAGTTGGATTGGATGCCAGCATTTGCAGAAGTAGGACACTTGCTTAATGGATTGGGGAATGTGCAAATAGTGATGGTGGGACCAGAAGTTCCAACAAATTTGTCAGGCACAACCTCAGGTATAGGTAGCAGAGTTAGAGTGAATCTTGTGAGGGGTGTTTATCAGGTGGAAGCCTCCTACCTACCTTCTCCACATGTTGTCATTGCTCTTAATTCTAGATTAGAAAGCTATTCTAGTTGGGGTGGGGCTCTTGATTTAATCAAAGCAATGGGGGTGCCTGCCTTCTTCACTGAACAATCTGAAGTTTCATGTGTAAATGCTAAACAAGTCCTGCGTAATGCCGGACTGCACATCACACATCCAGTGACTCCTAATCCTTTCAGGTCACCTGTGAAAAATCTCACAGCTTCTAGCAATCTTCCTTCATACAGCAATGGTTTTGTCTTTGGGGTGAATACTTAAATGCAGTCCCAGAAATTCCAAAAACCAGTGTCCGTCTATTGCCACCCGTTCTCAAGCTTGCAGCAAAATTTTCAAATTTTCCTAGTTCCCATGTGGTTTCTAAACATAACAGCAAGCTAGAAGATCCTTGTAAGTTTTGTTGAATTATGTATATTGATTCTGTTTGGCCATTGTGATTTTTATATAACTTTGCATGTGTTGAGTTCGTTGTATTAATCTCATTGAATCTTGTAAAAGTTGAAATAAAATGCCAGTTGTTTTAGTAAATCAATATCAGTGTGCGCAATCTCTAGTACCGCAATTCTTTTTGGAAAGAAACAAAGCAATCTTAAGAGTTACCAATAAAGTTCATGTTTACATTGCATTAAATGCATATAACTGCTGTTCTCAACAATGTTTTAGCCAATAGATATATGACTTAAGTACCCATATTTGTAATTACCAATTCAGATGGCCATTTTGTCATTGATTACAAATTGTGGAACATGAAAAAAATTTCTTTGGATCCCTTGGGTAATAATATTGGAATGCATGACAACTTACGGCACGTTTGGATGATTGGATTTGTTTTTTGTTTATCGTATGATTTTTAAAAAGGTTTGAATTTAAATTTTCTGAGATCACTAAAATCTCGAAGGTATTATTTGTATCTACCTTGTGCTTTTCAAATTTTCAGAAAATAATAAAAGAAAAAGAAAGTAGATTTATAAGAAACGGTTTATTTTTCATAGATTGCACATTATATTAGATTAAACTTCTTTAAAATGAAAAAAAAAGAAGAAGAATTTTCACAATGAATTTAAATTAAGAGTAATATATTTGTGTTCTCTCACATAATACAGAGGATTCAAATTCATTCTATTTATTTATTGTGATATTTAATAGTTAGGAAGTCAGATTTAATCACGTGATGCAACTATATTAAATTGCTTCATAGTTCAGAGTTAATGACAAAAATGAAGCCTTTATATTTCCAATCAATGTCCTACATAAATCTTCAATGTGAGTTAGTTAATATACATAAGGGATCAGTAAAACCACCATACTATGACATATATACAACTTAGTAAGGAATCCTTAGCGAAAAACACGACCATTACATCCGAATTAGATTAAGCAGACTATTTTTAATTGAATAATCAATGACTAATTGTATTGTAAAAAGTCCTAACAAGTTTGCCACTAATCTCCACCAATCACCGTGGATGTTGTTTGGTAGCTCTTTGTAGCCTTTTCTTTTTAGATAACAAGGGTTTTTTTTGTCTTTTTTTTGGCAATAGTAAAAGATTGATTCTTTTAAGATGTAAATAATATTAAAATAAATTTTATTTTTATAGAATAGTTTTACATAACCCATTAAAAATTGAATTTTAGTTAGTACGTTTGAAGGCTATTTAAGGTAATTGAATGATTGTGTTGACACCTCATAGAGATACATGTTGTTAATTTTAAAATCAATAAAAAAATCACACTCTTACTAGTTTGGTGAGGTATATGAAATATAGCAAAGGGAGGTAATAGATTTTTATAACTTTTTTCTTCATTTGATTCAATACTTTTAAAAATGAGACGATCAAAACAATTTTTTCTACCATTAGTATTGAGAAATTTGAAAAAAAATTCTTTTATAACATTTACTTAAGTTATAACGACTAAACTATATTTAAATTATATTATTTTTTTTAGAAACTCTTTTTATTTGTATTTACAATAATATATATATATATATATATATAAGTTATATTTAATAAAACGAGCTGAAATTGGTGAATTTATAATTTCTAACTGTGAAATAAACCAAAAATCATGTATTTATAATTGAAAGCTTATAATTATAGTTTATAAAATAAAATTGTTTGACATACTAACTATGCCATTAATTAATTTATATTAAATATTTTAAAATAACATATAATATTATATTAATATAATATTAAAATTAAATATAATTTATTTTAATATAAATTATTAATAAGAATGATATTATTCGTTTAAACAATAATTTGAATTTATTTTAAAAATTATTAATTTTAACATGTTTTATCAATAAAAATTAAATGAATTAATTTAAATAATTTATTTTTTATTTTTAAAAATATTTTTATCTACTTAATTATTTTTTATCTAAAAAATATTTTATTAATTATCAATAAAAAAAAGAATTAGTATGAGACCAAAAGAACAAAATAGCAATAGGATTAACGTATTACTGTTTTAATTGTGTGAAGGATATGATATTTAAAAAATATATATATATATAATAAAAATATTAATAGTTAATTTTTAAATAGCTTTTGAAAAAAAAAAATTCAAAAACTCTAAACTCTCTTTATTTTATGTTTTTATCAAACAATTCCATAAATTTATTGAAAGTTAATGTTATAAATTTATAATTAAGTTATAAATTAATTTTACCAAATATAAGTGTATTATTCTTTTTTCTCCTATTTTATTTGAAGATTTATTTTTTTCTCTTTTAGTCAATTAAATAAGAAGATTGATTTTCGTTCATTCTTTTTTCATGTTTTCTCTTCTATTCAGATTCTTCTTCTTTTTTATTTTTCTTTGAATTTAATGATATATTCTGATATATCCATATTTAAAAGAAACAATAAATATAATAAAAAGTAAAAAGAAAATAACAAATGATGTAATAAAAAATATAAAATAAATGTAAAAATTGATTGGTGGAAATATTTGAATGGATAAGAATATTGAAAAGTGAATCAAAGTTTTGTTGTTGTTTTTTTTTTTTTTTTTTTCCAAAAAGTGAATCAAAGCATGTGATTAGAGAAGAGAGAGGGATAGTCCATGTCCAAGTATCCAACTCTTTATGACCGAAAAATGAAAACCAATGAAGAGACTCTGAGGAGTTCATCACCCAACTTGCCCACTTGCCTATAAAAAGCCAACCAACTACCTATCCTTTTCCAACAACACCATACAACATCTCAATATTTAGCAGCAGCAGAACAACTCCATAATTCTGTCACATGACCAAACAATGGAGTTCCCAGCATCTCACTCTGTTCCCTGGCAATACCTACTCCCTTCTCACCTTCTCTTTCCCTACAATTTCATTCCAGAAAACTATGTTCGCTGGACAGAAACCCCTGAATCTCACATTTTCTCTGCTGACATACCCGGTAAGTTAACCCTTTCACATGTTGCAAAAAAATGTTAAATAAAGTAAATACCTTCTTATTTTTGAAGTATAGTCGTTTATTTTCTCAACTTCTTAAAAATTTTATAGAAAAAAAAAAAGCAATTATTTTTTAGACTTTGCTAAATAACCATACTATGAGTGAATTTGACTAGAGTTTGATTGAATATTTAACAAGTTATTGTCGTATTATAAATTTCATATTAAAATTTATAGACATAAGGTGAAAACAATTTATTTTGTTATAGGTTTTCTCCTTAGGATGTTAGAACTGGGTTTCTTTATCTTTTGGTGTTTGGTTGTGGTGGTAGGTGTGAAGAAAGAAGAGCTGAGAGTGGAGGTTGAGGACTCAAGGTACCTCATAATCAGAACTGAAGCTGTGGATGAATCCACTGAACCTGCGAGGAAGTTTGAGAGGAAGTTTAGGCTTCCGGGGAGGGTTGATCTCGATGGCATCTCTGCTGGGTATGAAGATGGAGTCTTAACTGTTACAGTTCCAAGATCACTTAGGAGAGGTTTCTACATTGACCCTGCTGATGTGCCTGAGAGTGTTGAATTTCTTGCAAGAGCTGCTTGAATTAACGGTGCTTGTTTTTGGAGCTACCATTTGCTGATTCATCCCGGAATATTCTATGGGAATTAAACAATTAATGAAACATTGGTTATGGTGTCTTTGCATGATTTGGGCCATGTCAAGGTCATTATTGTGTACAAAATGTTTGTGATCTCATTGTTTTCTATTATTTTCAGAAGTGACATCCAAGATTAGAACTCACAAACATGGATATGTAGAAGTAAAACAAATTTACAGGTTCCTAATTTAGCTAACTTTTATTATCGTGTGTTTCAAGTCTTTTCACTTGTTGAGTGTGCGTGATTATTGTAGATAACACACAGCACATGAGGACGAATGAACTTCCAAGAAAACGGGTGGATCTAATTTCACTCTAAAATATTTATGCTGGATGAAATTAATTTGCCAACCCACTTTGGTAATTTCGAATATTTTTTAAGGATTTGTTAGTCAATTGCTTCCGTTGGATTTAAAAATGGCTATGACTGAAAAATCTTCTTACCAAACAGGCCAAGTGGATGCAGATATTTTTTGGGGGTCGTAATCGGCTATTCAATTTTTTATTTATTGAAGAGGGCAATTTTGAGTGCACAAGAATCCACAGACATGGAATATTTCCATGTCCCACTCCCATTCAGAATTGCATCACATTCACATGATCACTATGTTCCACAATTTTTATTATTATTTTGGAATAGAGTATCATTTTTATATAAAAAATAACAAATAATGTTTCATAAAAATTAAACAATTTTAAAATATTTTTGAGATATATATAATGATTTAAAAAATTATATATGATATCAATTTGTAAATACTCTGATATCTTAACTCTTTACATAATAAGATATTTCTTCTTAATTAATTTCTTTGGCTTCCATTATGGGCATGTCAATCAATAGTAATTAACCAAAGCTTGGTGTTATATTTCTACTAGCTAGCCACCAAATCTGACCGCTTTTTTTCTCAGCTTGCCTTCCTTTTAAGATTCTCATGTAATGGTTTCATCAATGGTAGAGGCCTTGCTTATCTCCTTGTCGCCTTCTACGAGTTTAATATATCATTAACCAAAATATTTGATGTTTCACTTTAAAGTATATATTTTAAAATATAGGTTTTGTTAAAAGAAAATTTGTATTTTATTTTTATAACTTTAACATTATATGTATGTATATATACTTTTTAAGCAATAATTACAAAAAGAAAAAAAAAGAAATTCTACACATACTTTTTAGGTTAAATAATATTTTAGTCCCTATATTTAACTTAAATTTGTAAGTTAGTCCTTACATGTACAAAAATTTGTAAATTAGTTCTCATACATACATTTATTTTCGATTTAGTTCCTACCGTTAAGGTTAGAGTAAATGACGTTAAATAAGTAAATGACTAAATTAAAAATAAATACAATATGAGAATTGATTTATAAATTTTTTACATGTAGAACTAACTTACAAAATTTTATATATAAAAATTAACTTATAAATCTGAGTCAAAAGCATTTTTGTAAATTTGCAATACATCTTTGATTTGTATCTTGATTTTGATGGTTTTAAGGGGGTGAATAAAGTTGTAGATAAATGTATTGGTAATTATAATGCTAGCAATACTGATTAGGGTTCATTCAAGAACGAAAAAGGTTTTGAGTAGGTGGGCATGGATGTAAGTGTGGGTGAGAGCGATGGTGAAGTGGTTGAGAAGAGAAAATAATTAAATAAAGATTGTTAAAAGTTAATTGAGTTTTGGGGATAAGAAGCTAAGAGAAAAAGAGATTGTAACCTCCATTGAAGTTTATGTAGAGGAAGAAGAAAAATAATGAAAATAGTGGAATTAGAGGTGGAGGCAAAAGGGAGTTTGTGGGTGGATTGCAAAATCAAGATACAAACCAAAGATGTATCATAAATTTACAAAAAATACTTTTAACTCAGATTTTTAAGTTAATATTTATATGTAAAATTTATAAATTAGTCCTCTTATTATATTTATTCTCAATTTAGTCTTTTACTTATTTAACATTGTTTATTTTAAATTTAATGGTAGAGACTAAATAAAAAATAAATGTATGTATGAGGATTAATTTACAAATTTTTTACATGTAAGAATTAATTTACAAATTTGAATCAAGTATAAAGACTAAACAGTATTTAAACTTAATTTTTATTATTTTTTTATAGAGAGAAAACAGTTGAATGAGAAATGCAATAGTTTTGAGATGAAAGTTGACCTTATATTAAATTAAATTAAAATATATTGCATCCTAATTTAATGATATATTTGTATTTTTATAAATATAATCATTAACATTTTCTATTTTATTATAAAATAAACATATTTTTAGATATTATATATCTTTATTTATTAAATTTGTATCATATATATATATATATATATATATATTCTTAATTTGAATTTGTAATTTTAAATATTTAATATTGTAAATATTTTTAAAATACAATAGAAATTTATGACATATAATTTATTTTTTAATATGAAAATAAAAGAGAAAATAGCTTTCCATTTCATTAAATTTAATAGTTAGTTTTCACAACGTTGATTTTAAAAACAGAATAAAAAAGCAAGAGTATTCTTCCATGAAATTCTAACCTTCAAATACCTACTTGTTTCTTAAAATTCATCATTTTTACATCCCTCTTGAAGAAAAACCATTTTATATGCTTCCTCTTCTTTTCAAATCCTTAATTTTATAACTCCGTCTTCACAAACCTTTTTTGACATTCACGTGAATCTATCAACTACGGGAATTTGACAAACATGTTACAAATAATAATGCAAATAAAAGGAATTAGTCTAATATAAACCAATTTTTTTATATACTAAACACAAAAATGAAAATTTACTGACTTCTTCCTATTAAGGTTTCATACATTATTGGTAGTGAGTTGCAAAATTTCTGTGGATACCAATCTCACACCAACTATTATATTAGAGATGGAATGGACATGGTAAATATAGTTTAATTACAAAAACTATAATTTGTCCATCTTTCTTTTATTGTATTCCTTATTTTTATTTTGAATTTTAGATTAAAAAAATCCAAATAAATCATCATCATTGTTATTTTACTCACCATTGATTATGTCTGTCTCTTGATTTTGTGCTTTTTTGGTTGTCTGATTAAGTCTCCTATCCTTCAATTCAACTTTCCCCTCTTCAAGCCAGCAAAATTCTTTTTGTGCAGCAAAGGCACTTTTTTTTTTAATCTTCTCGTATTATTAAGTAATATGACATTATGACGATCAAAATTACTAGACACAATTTTTATAAAAAAGTTCAAAAGGAAAAAAAAAAAAAAAAACCCTAGTTGCTAGCAACTTTCTCTAAAGATTCTCTCCTTGGACTCGGATTCTTTGAAATTTTTTTTTTTTTTATGGAGTTCTTTTTCTATTATAGTCATGTTTCTCTTTTATGGAAGTTTTTTCATTTCTTCTCTCTCTCTGATTGTTTTATTTATCTGCTATTGTCGCTTTTAATTTTATTAGCCTTTTCATTTTTGTTCCTTAAAGTTAGCTAGTATTATCATCCTTCATCTCCAACAATTGAAAGTGCGTTTGATTTCCTCTTTTAAAAATAATTTTCTATTTTTAAAAATAAAATAAATTACAATTAAAAAAAAATGAAATCAAACATGATCTAAGACTTTTCCTAATAATTTTATTCTCCTTTCTTGTTACTCAATCAAAACATGATTGTAATATTGGCAGAGTCAATCACACCAACATAGAATAAAAAAAAGAAAAGATGACAAAGAAAAAACGCAAAAAGGAGTTTATTTTGTGAAGTTTCACTCTAGTGACAACTAGCAAATAAAAAGTATTTAATTTATTTAAAGCTGAAATTTTTTTAATGTTTCTATTCTATATGCATTTTGAATGAACATATCATGTGTTTTGATAATTATATTTTAAAGTATTGTTATATCATTCTATAGGGCTAATTTTATAAAAAAATCTTACCATTATTGAAAAAAAACATTTTTTATTAAATTTTATTAATAAATTCTATAACCAATATGGCCATCCTTATTTGATAAAATTTATATATATTTTTTTTCAAATACGACTCTGTTTCGTTACCATTTTTTACGGCTACGTTAATTAATCAAGCAGTTTTTTGCTTTTTTTTTTTTTGTTCCAAGACACTGGTTAAATTGGGCTTTACCCGTATGGGCTGGGCTTAGATTAAATAAAAGAATTAAGACGATATCCACTCTAAGCCTGAAAGAAATCCATTCCATTTTCCAAAACAGAGAAAACAAAGAGGAAGAACGGATTGGTTCGTGACATCCACGCGCTTCGTTATTGGCCTTGTCTCTGTCATTCGTCGTGTTCTCGTGTTGCCCTCTTGTTCCTCTTCTTTGCATCGCTCGCTTCTTTCTTCGTCTTGTTCTTCTGCTTCTGTCACATCAACATCGTTCCATTTCTCACACCGCTTCTTCTTCCTTCTCATTTTCCGAATCACACATAGCTAAACCCTTTGACCCTTTCACCTCTGTTTTTCTTCCTCTCTATTCAGTATAATTACCATAAACCGCGATTAGGGTTAGGGAACACAACAATGGCTCAAGCGGTTGAAGAATGGTATAAGCAGATGCCAGTCATTACACGCTCTTACCTCACCGCTGCTGTTGTCACCACCATCGGATGCTCCCTTGATGTAAACTCCTTTATTCTTAAGCTGGATTTTTTCCGGATTTTGAGTTTTAGGGTTTCCAATTTCCTCTTTTCCTTCCAAGGAATTTCGTTTTTTATGAATTGGGCGTGTCTAGTTTGGGTTTTTTATTTTAGAAATTTCATTGTTATTCTTTTGATTTCTTGATTTGAAATCAAATCATGAACATTATTGTTTTGTTATTTGTTGTGAATCGAGTAGTGTTTAAGAGGTTTTAAATGAAGCCATGGTTGAATCGCGTTTATGCTTAGTTTGGTTTCTTGAAATGAAAGATTGGCATGCTTTATTTAATTTTTTTCTTTCATTCAATTATAGTTTGGTGTTTTATAGGTTTAAGTTTTCAATTTTGCACTATGAAGGGTTGATTTCCTTTTTATCTTGCTGATTTGGAAATTATGTTACTGATTCTTTGTTGATTGATGCTCTTTTTTCATGACTTGCAGATAATATCTCCATACCATTTGTACTTGAACCCTAGACTGGTGGTGAAGCAATATCAGTTTTGGCGCCTGATTACTAATTTCTTGTACTTCCGGAAAATGGGTAAAATTGTCAATGTCAACCGTTTAAACTTCACTCAGTTTCAGTTTTAATATGCAAATATCTCAATTTTGTTTTGTATTGACTTGTTTGGGGCACTGATTTTCATTTCAAATTGTTTTTCTTTTGTGGGCTGTTACACTATTTTGCAAAAATATGATAATGAGCGACTGATTCTGGTAAATAGGGAGTGGGGACATTTTGTAAGCATCATGAATTTAGTGCATGTTTGGAGACACTGCAGAGTAGATTATCCGTGCAAATGCACATGTCATCCTTCTTTGACGGGTATATAGACACGCTCTTAATCTGTACATAATGAAAATCACATTAAGAGAGCAATTGTGTTGAATAAATCATAACAGTTTTGAGAATAGCACAAGTGAAGAAAGGCTATTGCTATAGTTGGGATATACATACATTTTTGGAAAGGTATCAATCCAATTGTCCCCAACATAATCATAGTACTTCCTAGAAAAAAAACTACTCGATTAAAGATATGAACTTTTATTGGTTTATCAGAAGCAATGGAACCACGTGATGATATTTACTTGTTTCGCTTGGAGAACATAGTGTAGTTCTTGCTTCATATTTACATGTGACCATAAGTTACTGAATTTGCTGAATCCCCTTATGTTTCACAAATTAGATCATGCGTTTCTGATTGCGGTGCCTTTGCAGTGGTATACAATCCAGATTGCCAAATGCAACCTATGCTCTTTGAATAAAATAAGAGGAAGCCTCAAGCTTGCATTGATGGTTTGATGTATACATAATATAAGTCAATAATCTGTTGATTTAAATTGGTGTTTGTTGTATAAAATGGTTGCCTCCTCATGTGAACACCCTATTTTCTTTTGTGGCTTTTGTATTTGTGGAATAGATTATCAGATGCATATCTGTATTAAAATCTTCAGCACATCCCTTTATGAATTAGAATGACACCCTTGACCCTCCAAATTCCCTCTAATAACACTATATAATCAAAATTTGTGGGCTTGTTTCTTTTTCTTTCAACAGATAGTATTGACACCAACAGGCATATTTCTGAAAATTCCTCCATGTTCTTTACTCTTATTTGTTTCATCATTGTTTGATATTTAGTCTGAATATTGTGCATCGTACATTTAAATTTGACACGATATTTTCTTATTGAATGCGCAGACTTGGATTTCTTGTTTCATATGTTTTTTCTTGCTCGGTACTGCAAGCTTCTTGAGGAGAACTCGTTCAGGGGGAGGACTGCTGATTTCTTTTACATGCTCTTATTTGGTGCCACTGTATTGACTGGAATTGTACTTCTTGGCGGGATGATACCATATTTATCGGAGTCTTTTGCAAAAATAATATTCCTTAGCAACTCATTGACATTTATGATGGTAAGTCTATTTTTGTTGTTGAGTTCTCACCTTTAAATTTATCTCAAATTTTAAAACTTAATTTATCTATTTTCAGGTTTATGTGTGGAGCAAACAGAATCCCTTTATTCACATGAGCTTCCTGGGCCTCTTTACTTTCACTGCTGCCTACCTTCCATGGGTGTGTAAATTCTACAAATGTTACTTGATTGGATAGGATAACATTAAACTGAGTTTATGCACAGTACTTAAAATTTTAATTTTGTTTTTCCTTTTGGTTAAGTTCTAACCTGTAATCATGGCAATCTAATCATAAAAGTTTTATGCTTGTAGGTTCTCTTGGGGTTCTCTGTTCTTGTTGGTGCTAGTGCTTGGGTGGATCTACTGGTATGTCTCCGTTTCCTTACTATGGAAACTTGATTTCTATCTATTCATTTTTCTGAGAAACAGCTAATGTGACTCTTGACCGCATTTTTCAGGGAATGATTGCTGGTCATGCATACTATTTTCTTGAAGATGTTTATCCTCGGATGACGGGTCGTAGGCCCCTCAAAACACCATCATTCATCAAAGCACTATTTGCAGATGATCCAGTTGTTGTGGCACGGCCTGCCAATGTCAGATTTGCTCCCCCAGCAGTTGATGAACTTCACCAAGACTGAATGAATGAGCCCAATGGTGAGCAGAATAGCAACAAAACTGCAAAGCGGTTGGCCTTGTAATATATAGATTTTGAAACTTTTTTTTCGGATGCATTTGTTAATTATTAAGATTTAAGAATACTATGTCGAATGTCCAAAGTTTTAACTGAATGAGATAACAGGTTTCCTCATTTCTCTTTGTAGTTTATCAGAGCATCTTGTAGATATAATAATAGTGTCCCCTTCTTTATTATTTTTCTTTCATATTATTTTATTCTTCTGTTTTTTATCACATGAGGCGCCTTCCAGTTATGTTATGACAGAAGACTACCATCATAATGTTTTTTTGCAGGATAAAATTCCTCTATTTTCATGTTTGATTTCAAAGTTATTTTTATCTTTATTTTCTTCCTCTTACTAAACAAACATGGAACTCTTTCCGTCCATTCTTTTTTTATTAAAATATCTCGCATCTCGTCCTCATTCTTTGAATCCAACAGAACTATGCAAAGCATCCAATGTGAATTTGAGATATGCAAAATGCTATAAGCTTTTAATTCAACGTACACAATAATCTTTTTACTTTCCACAGGTACATGCAAAATGGTAGATGAGGAGTAATTTGATAGTAGTATTGCATTTATAACATCAATGATTTTCTCTAGAGCGTCATATTTGCTTACCAAGTTTAATTAAAATATTTTACAACAGAAAGTGTGACAATTTAAAAAAGAAAATATTTGTTATCTTGTGAATATAAGCAAGTATGCGCAAGAAAGAAATATAAAAGATTGTTGATTTTTTTTTTTTGCATCACCGTTAAACTTCCGGTAAAATAACATATATATGTATACATTAATAAGATAAAAACTTTATACAAGAAATAATGTTTGCGAGATATATCATACAACTCAAATAAAAATAAATTTTATGTGAACAATGAAATAAATACTACTAAAATATAATAATATAAATAAAAAATGTATTTATTTTACTCTTAACTTTTATGTTGTTAAATACTCAAATAATTTCAGACAAAAATACAACAAAATAATAATATAATTTTTATCATTAATTTTAACTTTCTAGGATAATTATGTTAAAATTATCAATATAATTTCTCACTAACATATTCTTAGATATTTGCTAGATACATAGATGTTGCTTTTAGTACAATTAATTAGTTAAAAATTCCTTTTGATATCTTTCTTGAAGCTTGTCACATTTCTGCAGCTGTTATTTTGTCAATTATTTCTTGCAGAACTTAATAAGTTATTCTCAATAGAATTATACAATCCATCTTTTTCAATATTTATTTCTTTATCTATTTCTTCTTTACATTTCTCTGAGTCACAAACAATTTTTCTTTACCGTTTAATGTTGTTATACATTGTTAATCTACAAAAATTGTCTTCATCTTTAATTTTCATAAAGTGAAATCATTCTATCCATTGAATTTTTCAATATTAAATTTATTTAAAGACATTATAATCACTAAAATTAGTCCTTAAAAAAAAAACTAAGCTCTTAATATCAATTGTTATGACAAAAGAAAACAAAGTAATTAGAAGAACAACAAAAATCAATGTGGTTCAGTCAATGAAACTTACATCCATAATCAAATTAAAAAATTTCTATTTATTGTAATTTGTGAATATAAAATACAAGATACATATAAAAAAAATATCTTATAAGCTTTTAAAGTTTGTGTATATAATGATTCATAACTCACCATAATAATTCATAACATGGAAGAGAACAATAGTTAAAACTCAGAGACACAAATTCAAGGTATCTCAACACATATTACCATATTCAAATCATATGACTATTTATCTACCAAAAAGAATCATATGACTATTTTGTAGCAAGAAAAGTTTAATTTACCCTCTCCGGTTTAGCTTCAAGTGGATGCTGATTCTGAAATTAAAAGAAAGAATTGTTAACGTTCAATAAAATTTAAACAAAAAGATTGAAAAACACAATTCAAAAAAGTTTAAAAATCACATTGCACATGTTTAAAGCTTGAAAACTGAAGTTATGAGGCTAGACTTTTACCTTTAAATAATGCAAAGGAAATCATTGAATAGAAAGTAAGCTACATCGGAAAATCTATTTAGCTTACTTGGACAGGAAGAGACAAACATGGAAAAAAATTTGTGTCTAGTGCTACGTAATACCGAATTGCTTGATCTTTTGATATACATTCACAATTTCCCATTCACAATTTAAACTCGTTCAAACAAAAGTGCTAACTCATTCTTGCAACAATCTCAATTTTTTGTGGCAGTATATATTTTGGCAAACATCAAACACCCTATGGAGTGTTGAGGAAAAGAATGAATACATCGTTCCCAGTTTGTTCTGCACATACAAACATGCAAAACAAAGGTCTGGAAACAGCCTGCAACCATAATCTTGAAACTACACAAAATATTCTATTTCCTTAATCTCCTCTGTCAACACCTCTCAATTCCCTTTTACATACATGGACCTATAACCGCAGAAAATCACAATCTCAACATCATTTAAACCAACAAAAAAAAAAAGGAAAAGTCCAAATTGTTCTACCTAAGTAGCCGCAGCTGATTGTTACACGTAAAAAGAACTGCTGCATGAGACTAAACCTGACGGGAAAAAGAGCAAAAGAATGCCAAAGAGAAAAAGAATACCATGAACTACAGTGCCATTAAAATCATAACCTCCAGGTTAAAGAATATATTAAGATCCTAGTTGCACTGCAGTTAACGGATAGGGTGATATTGTGCTGATATTCTCTTTGGGGGCAGTTTGCGCAGGATGAAGAGGACTAAAACTGAAGGCAAGATCTCAACCAGCTGTATTATGAAAAAATGAAAGGTAGTTTGCAATATGTTAAGAGAGTGAACCCAAATAATAAGGGCAATTAACTAAATTAATTTTAAAAAATAGGGAATAGAATACCATGTAGTAGATCAAGTCCAAAATAGGATGATCCACAACATCAAGAGATGCATCTGAATCAAAAGCAGAAATCAAAACCTGCACGCGTGTCAAAAGTTTAATTAAGAAAGAAGCTATAATGCTTGGATAATAATACACTATATGTCATTATTTAACTTATCCTACAGCTATACTTTTCAATTTCTCATGACAAACACTTCAATACTCTACCATCCCTTTTCCTTAGATTTAACCTCCATTTAGGACATACTTTTCCCTTGAAAATTTTAACCATGCTAACCATTGAATGTTCTACTCTGATCTTGTGATTTTCATATTCTTCTAACTAAATAATTTTTTGATTTTTTGCGTGCAGGTCTAACAATATTGCACACAAAGGTTGAAACTTGAAACACACCAACTCATATTCAACTAATGTAGCGCCAAATTTAGATCCTGATGAATCATGATCCAATTTATTGCCATTCTTACCTCACATCATAATCTACACCCTCATCAACTACATATGCATAATTCACACTTCCAATTGTTGTTTGTCAAATGAAAAGAATAAACTTCTTCGACTAATAATACAGGGATTCAATTAAATATTTTACAATTATGGAGAAACTCAAATATACCATATACTGAATGTATCAAATATGTATCACCGCTCTCAAAGTTGGTAAAGACATTCATATTTTTTGTTGTATATGTCTGTGGATCCCAAACCTTGCCCCAACTACAGGGAAAAACAAGGAAATAACATAGCAGAATAGCAAAAGAAGGTGTGCAGAAGCCAAGCAGAAAATAATTATAATTGTGAATTATTTACATTGAGAATGTTAAGAAAGTGTCTATTTAAACATAGGAAAGGTAACAGAATAATAATATAGTTAGATGTTACCATCAAGCCTCTTATCAGAAAACAAGTGAAACAGATGGCTGTGACAAATCCGACCTGCAATTCAAAAATTATTTTGTGAATACAGCTACTAATAATATAAATATTTGTTTTCAATTTATCATTGTTCTACATTTGGAACAGTACAGATGATGAAAAGATTGAACAGGTTCTTTTCAGTTCATCATAATGAGATATAATACAAGGCCATTCTGAACAGGAAAAAGTGTATGCACTTTTTTATTTATGAATGAGTAATCTAGTTAAAACTGGTAATATTTTGCAGCACAAATAACTGTGAGGGTGTTTGGAATGTTGAAAATTGGGATTTGATTTGATTTGTGAATAAAATCTTGAGTTTGTAATGTTAAATTTGAGATTTAAAATATCTTGTATATGAGGCTTTTGTCTTAAAAATCCTATCAAATTTGGTAGGATTGAGTTGGAATTCATTTGATTTTAAATTAAATTATATATATATTGTCAGTTTTAATGAGTTCCAAACATAAGATCCAATTTATAAATCAATTAAATCCAATTCTTTATAATGGATTCAAAAACTACAGTTTTAATGTGCTTGACAACTAAAATATTTTACTCATTCATTCATGTTATTTCCTTGAAAGTTCTACCTAGGAATGCAAATTGAATTTTATACAGATAAACCACCAACAAGGGAAGTGAAGAAGTTTACACAAATTATCATTTAGAGATATAAACAAAGGCAACAGAGCAATCCTTATGAGATATGACAATTCAGACTATGACCTTATAACTCGTAGTTGTACAGCAAAATACTTATAGTCCTAGAATAATTAAACAGCTTATTTGATGTTTCTCCTATTCAGTAGTAGAAATTTAGGACCTTAGTAGTTGATCTTAACAAAAAAGTAATAAGAGATTAAAAGTTATCTAACCAGTACAAAGATGACACTCTGGCATACCCATTTCCAAAACATCTGTCTATTGCGTTTGTGTTTGGAAATCAACATATTAAAAGAACAATGGAAAAGACACCAAAATTGGACAAAGGTTTGTATCTGAGTCATTTATATGCACACAGACATGTGTGAAGCACTAAAATATCATGGGAAACCTGAATACATTTTGAAAAATAAAATAAAATCCCCTAGAGTAAGGAAGAAAAGAAGTGATGCTTGAGTAAAATGAAAATCTGATGGGGAGTAGTGACAAAACATATTTTCACAAAAGACATACAATCTTACTAATTTGAGGTAGTAACTAGCTCCCATCAGATAAGGCAAAAACATACCTCTTCCAAGCACACAAAGAAATGAGCATATGAGACCAAGAGAAATGACCAACAGCAATAGAAAAAGACACGGCCACACAAAGAAATTCATTGGATATAATGCAAGCACTGATATTGTCAAATCTTTTTTCCATAACAATTTTTATCAAATTGACATACCTCATGAAGCTTCTTCCTTCTTCCTTTGGATTCAATTGGGAAACGCCTCAACATTGTAAATAACCTAGAGACATTCAAGTTTAATTGAACTTTTAGTTCCCATATTTTAATTTATGTACAATGTTACTCTCTTTTTTCTAATTACTTGTATTTAGTTTCTATAGTTACTCAATTATTAAAATTAAGTCCTTTATCCTAAAATTTTATCCAATAATTAATGAATAGATAATAGAGATGTGACATAACATCGGTTTATATAGATTGACAAATAAAAATATATAAAATATTAAAATAAAAATTGAGATCCATGACATTTTTTTATACAAACATTTTATACAATTTTTCTTTTACAAATCCATACAAATCAATGATATGTCTCAACCCACTACATTCCTATTAATTATTGGATGGAATGTGGAATGAATGACTTATTTCAACCATAAAAACCAAGAACCACCATTAAATAAATATAACTGAGGGTGCGAGGTATTTCATATATAATACAGTCAAACGCAGAAGCCTCACCTTCCTCCATATATCAAGAAGCCTAATGCAGCCATAAATGAGACAGCTGAAGAAAAGAAAAATCCCATGAAAAAATGCTTATGCATACAGAAATATATCGTTTCAAGGTTGCATAACTCATTCTTAAACTCAAATGGATGTGAAAGATAAATTAATCCTTGCTTAAAAAGCTAACCTGCTGTAAATATGTTTCCCATCAACTCCACAACATTATTGTAATCTATCCAGAGGTAAATCCAAATACAAACCTGAATCCAAAGCCAAAACTTAGAATAGAGATGGATGTCAACTATCAAAGAACATGTTTTTCCCCCTTATATGCCTCTGGAGAGATTATGCACATATTGCAGCAACTAAATAGGAGAAAGTCACAATCACTGCCCAAAACCGAAATCAAATTGCATATCTTAAAACTCCTTCAAATGCTAATAAGTCATATTTGGTACACAATTAAGATGTACAAGTGCCCTAGATATTCATATGCCATTATGTTTTCAGAAAGCGAGAGAAGATCTTGACTAAGAAAGTTGTAATTTCATACACCAGTCATCACTGGTTTTACACTCAAGTAAAAGCAGTTGAAGTTGCAGCTTGTTAGTGTCTGTCCAGCACATGAAATAAAAACAAAAATCACATGTCCAGAACCTAAATATTCTATGAACAGTTTGGATTACCACCATATTACTGAGGAGTTGTCATCTTGTATTGAGATGAATAAAGGAGATTCAACAAACAAAATAGTGCATATCAGCTTACATATGTTGTGTGCAACAAGAAATAAGACAGATGAGATACCTGGATAAAATACACAGCACCATTTATAGAAACATAGAGTATCCTCAGTCTTTCCGTCGGTAAACTCCTAGCCTGCTCAACCATTGAAAAGCAAAAACAAATTATAATGTTTTGCACACTAAAAATAGAAGAAGTTCAAATAACATATTAATAAAGGAAACGAAAAAGAAAAGGAAATTCCTAGATCATGCAAACGAAAGCGAATAATTCATAATTACTTTTTGTGAGTTGCTCTTATCTCATATTCTAACAATAAAAATGATAATTGTAAAAGGAGAAAGATGAAAATTGACATGCCTGATGATAAATCTCAGCCCAGAAAAGAACCAGAAGTATATAAGTAGAGAAAAACACTAGTCCCGGCAGATCCAATAACACCAAAATCAAGACCTAAACCAACAAGTAATCACTCTCTATGTCAGCATGCAAGCCTTATAAACTAGCAATTCAAAGTTTAAACAGATGATGCTGCACATGCAAGCCTGACCTTTGGATGCAAAAGAAAAACTTGGCTGTGAAATCCAAACACTACTGCACGTACTGCAATGAGAAAACGCAAATAATAATTACAATAAAGCATTAAAAATGCAGGAACAAACAAGCGAAGAATGATACAAGACGAGAGAGTGTGAAAGCACCTCCACTGACAATGAAGTTCATAAGATGGAAAATTTTTTGAGTTGTCCAACCGTATTCAGGCACTCTCAGTTCAATTCTTATAAGCTGAATCTGCAGAATTTGAATTGAAGATACTTAATTAATGTAAAGCAATGAAACAAATCTAGAATTGAATTCCTAATGGTAGATAGAGGGAAAGAGAAGAGAGACCAGAGCAACAGAGGAGATGAGAGCATAAGCAGCACAGAGGAAGTAGAAAAAGGCGTTCTGGTAGTGAGTGGAGTTGTTGGTGCGGTCCCACCAAGGCCAATCAAAGAAGAGAGGTGCAAGTTCAAGTGCATATGGAACCTTCTTCATCTTCCGTTTCTATTCAAGTTTTATTCCCTTCTTGTTTATAGCTTATATATGCTACCAGTCAGTCTCCTCTACACACTCCCAAGTCACACTATATCAACACAACACTCTGTAAACCATATAACAACAACAACAACAACTTTACCGGTCTGTCTACAACTCTTAACTACACTTCTTCAAATTGTTATTCCTTTTATCAATTCACTCAGGTAAGCAATGCCTCTTGCAAAATCAGCCCATTTAGATTTGTTAGTTTTGTGATCCACAACATGACATGATGGGATTTTTAAGCACTTTTTCTTACCTAACAAAAAAATTATGCTTTAAATAATTAAATATGGACTCAATGCCTTTGATGAGATAATAATAGCATATAATTTTTATATTTTTTCTCAAATTTCCATTTAGCTAATTATTTAAACAAATCCAGATGAATTATTTGAAATAGTATAACTTAATTTAGTTAACGCATTTCAACAACGAGTGGATCCGTGGCGCAATGGTAGCGCGTCTGACTCCAGATCAGAAGGTTGCGTGTTCGATTCACGTCGGGTTCAATTCCCTGTTAACATGATCGATATTTTTTTACAAACACAGGGAAAGGTCCACCAAATCATTAAACGCAGCGTTTTGGCCCGTCGTAACTGTCACTGGTTCCTATGTCACACACTAAACCTCACTCTTTCTTCTTCTTCTGTTTCCTTTTGGCTGAAAAACCCTAGCTCCACCCGCTCTCAACTGCAACCATGTCAACGCTCTCTCGTCTCCGGCAAGCGTTCCGCCACTATTCCACAATCCTCTCTCCGACCTCATCAACGCCGTTAACCTCGAAGCAGAAGTCTCGAAGCGCTCTCCGCCTCCTCGGAACGGAGTCTAACCCCGAACGCATCATCGAGATTTGCCGCGCTGCCTCCCTCACGCTGGAGTCTCACCTCGACCGCCGTGCCTTGTCCCTCGCCATCACCAAACTCTCCGCTGCCAACCACTTCGACGGAATCCGCCGTTTTCTCGACGAACTCAAATCCCGCTCGGACCTCCGCACCGAGCGATTCCTCTCTCACGCCATCGTTCTCTACGGCCAAGCGAACATGCTCGAACACTCGCTTCGCACCTTCGATAGCGACCTCGCACCTTCTCGCTCCGTCAAATCGCTCAACGCCTTGCTCTTCGCTTCTCTCCTCGCGAAGAACTACAAAGAGGTATCTCGAATCTACCTTGAATTCCCTAAGATTTATTTGATTAAACCTAATGTAGATACCTATAACATAGTTATTAAGGGTTTCGCTGAGTCTGGTTCGTCTAGCTCTGTTTACTCTATTTTGGATGAGATGGATAGGAATTCTGTTAAGCCTAATTCAACGACTTTGAATAATTGCATTGGTGGGTTTTACCGAGAGGAGAAGTTTGAGGAAGTGGGGAAGGTGATGAAATTGATGGAGGAAAAGTACAGGGTGTTTCCTGGACTTAGTACTTATAATGTTAGGATTCAGAGTTTGTGTAAGTTGAAGAGGTCTTCCGAGGCCAAGGCTTTGCTTGAAGGGATGGTTTGTGGAGGGAGGAAGCCAAATTCGGTTAGCTACTGTTATTTGATTCATGGGTTTTGCAGGGAAGGGAACCTTGAGGAGGCCAAGAGGTTGTTTAGGGAAATGAAGAGGAGAGGGTACGTGCCTCATAGTGAGTGTTATTTTACCCTTGTTCACTTCCTGTGCCAGGGTGGGGATTTTGATTCTGCGTTGGGGGTTGCAGGAGAAAGTATGGCAAAAGGTTGGGTTCCTAATTTCACGACAATGAAAAATCTTGTGAATGGGCTTGTTGGTGCGTCTAAGATAGATGATGCTAGAGAGCTTATTAAGCAAATCAAGGAGAAGTTTACTGCAAACAGTGATAAGTGGGATGAAATTGAAGGTGGATTGCCTCAGTGAGAAACTGTGTGGTCTGCTTGCATAGTTGATTTGTCTCAGGAATCTCAGCTGAGGAATGGCTTTCTTTTGTTGTTGCTCCGGCCCTTGGCTTTTGTGCAAATGAAATCAATGCTAGCCGGTAATCTGCTGAGTTAGTTTTAACATGTTCGCTATCGTGGGGCATGCTTAGTTTTCCTTGTTTGGGTAATAAAAGAATTGTGAAACGGTTATGAAGACAGTATTCTGTTTGTTCTCATTTGTTATACCTCTGTCAATTGCATTAGCTCAATTTTGCTTTTCCAAAAAAGCAGACCGGTACGCTTCATGGACCTGTATATTACATTATTAGTTTATTACTAATTTTTGGTTTCTTATACTGCTCTTCCTCCATAGCTTACTAAAGCTGGTTGCTACCAGCTGCTTTTGATATGTGCCTTGTCATTTTTGTTTATTTCCACTTTTAAATAGTTCTATTAATTCTATTTGTTAATCGAGTCAAACAGTCAAACATTTGACTCATACATGTTTCATTCTACTGAAATTGAAATTACGTGTTGTATGATGCTATTGTAAGTTCATAATCACGTTTTTGTTGGTCGAGGTTGTAGGTAATGGAGAGTCAGTAATCAGTAGTAGATCTTCAGCTCTTTCAAAGGATTTGTTTTATGTTCACAAATAACTAATCTACATTGTGTGCCTCTGCATTTTAATGCAATTTCAAGCATATTGATAGTAAATTATGTGTTAAACGCTAACTACCACCTTCAGCTCTGATCACCGTGGAATTTACTTCATGAACTCGATACATTATATAGTGTTTCAGTTCACGAGCTTGTGTTCTAAGCCAAACGGTGCTACACAGGGCCTTTTATCATATCGCTCTTAACTTTATGGTTTTTTCCTTCCTCGGAAGGGAATTTATGTTGGCAATTGAAATTATGAGGGGAGCATGCATTTGGACTATCTGGTCTTTCGAAGATGACAGTGGGAGGTAATTCAAGCATCGTGCTTCCTTCAAGGAAGTGGTGTACATGAGGTTATTTTTACAACTGATTAAAATTAATCTTGACCCTTAGATTGCCTAATTGTGCAAAAGTGCAAATTGTGTGTTACTGTGGATCTATCACTAATATGTATATTCTGTTTCTACACCCTTCACGTAAAAACATTATATTACGAGAAAGAACACATTTTACTATAGAGAAAAGGATTTGTTTTTGTATAAAGGTCATGTAATTTTAAGTGACTCATTAGCGAATAAAATAGACCCAAAAAAAAATATTAGCAAGCGACAGTGAAGATGTTTAAATGGTCATGTTGAGATGCAACAGTTTCAGAATGTTACCGTGGTAATTGCAGTGCAATTCGGGCACCGTGAGCAACAGAAAAGGAAAATCTTGATTATTACATTAATGGTAGCCAAGTGTGTTGTATATACTTGTATTAAAACCCGAAGTGCGTGTCAACTTCTTTGAACTTTGTTTCCTGCTCAAAAAAAAAAGTGAATGGATATTTGTTATTTTCTTTGAAATGGACAATGGCTTCTTCGAACGAAATTTTAGGTTTATTTCTTTTGCAGTGGGAGGACCACAAAATTAGGCTGATTATCGTGGATTCCAGTTTAAAAAACACTTGTCTATAAACTAAAAATACTTTTTTCCCCCCCACATTATCAATCATTACGATGCAGGTGTCTATGACACCATTTTCATTGGGATCTATGTGACACAGCAACACTGCATATAAAAGCTCAATAAGGCAATGCTGAGTTCAGTTTGTGGGCCAAGGAGCCAAGTAGAAAACCCGATCTCTAGACGAGATACGAAAATGTTGTTTGATGGAGGATTTAAAAGAAAAGGAGAGGGAAAGACATTTTTCATTTTAAAATTAACAAAAGTATATGCCATATATGAAATTTGATAATTAATATATTATATCTATGCTAATTCATTGCTTTATATATATATATATATATATATATATATATGGTCGACAGATTAAAATATATTTATTTTAATTTACCTTTTCACTTCCTCTCCTCAAACTAATATAGGATTAGGATGGTTTTAAAAGGTTTATAAACCTTTTTCCTTCTTATCTAAACACATTCAAACTGACTAAACATCACACAAGTTTCCCTTCACTTCTTTTTTACTCAAAAATTAACTATCAAACAAAGCCTAAAACAGTGGTCCAACCCACCCATAAAGATCATATAGGTCAGCCTCGTTCTTTAGTCCATTTTGAGTTCTGACAAAAAGAAAGTACATTTTAAGTTTGACATCTCTATTTAAATGACGGGTCGTTTTGACCCAGAAAGAAATCAGTTAGTTTCTTAAAATTTAAAACATCCTAAGATGCAACCCAACCATGATTAATAAATAAAATGAAATATTATCAATTTGATGGAACAAATCTTCAAAACGTAATTCTCTTTTATCTACTGGAAACGCAGTTTGTTTGTTTAATGTGTAATTAAATCAAGCTGATATTTAATCATTTATTTGCCATTTAAAGTACCGCTCAAATCTCCACTTGAGCGTGTTCCGTTATACTTGATTCAACGGAACCTCAACTAGGCTGACTTTAATACAATTGCAGATCTCATATATTTGACTCCATATGCTGCACTAGATGCCACTGTTGTTGAGGCCACTAACCAGCTGCACCAGAACATACATCAAGTTCAAAAATTGCCAAAAATGATAGGCAAACATAATTCTAGCAAAATTACCTCGGATAAGTAATGTATGATTGAGTTTCTTGGGTTCCAAATTCTGGTTGAAGGAGAGCTGCAGCAACTAATCCTAACTGGAACACCGTATTCACCTGCCCAAATTTGTATTCCTACTTAGAAAATGGGATAAATACAAAGGAAATTTATTGAAAGGTTCTCTCTGAGTATAATCTACTTCTCTAATCTACCTATATGCTGCTTTAATTTTATTAGAAGAGGGTTTTGTGTGTTGCGGGAGCAGTTGGAGCATGTTGGAGGGTACAATAATCTGCGACCTTACAATCCTACAACCCAGCCATGCTCCCATACAAAAGCAAATATCGGGTGGTTTTATTCAAGATGGAAAAGTAAGTCATTATGCTGTTTCACAAATGCAGAAGAAAAACAAAAGGAGAAAACTAAACAACTATTTGATAACATTTACAAGAGACGACTGTAAAGGTCTCTACTAATCCCAAAATTCATTAATGAGGGAAACATGATCAGGCAACTACTGAACATAAAGCTATGCCAAACCATAACGATTACCTTGCTTATATAGAGTGGTTCAACCTTTTGGCGATGGGTCCCATCAAGGTTAAAAAATTCAAACCAGCTTTTCCACTGAGAGAAGCACACACAATCTAAGTTTCATTTTCATATCTGCAGTTTCTCAAGCAGAAAGGAAAGCATGAGAATCACATTCTCACTTCCTACCTTCCAACCTAAGCTACTTGCTCTTTGAAATACTGCAAGACATCTCGGAACACAACAAGTCCAACAAGTCCGGCTTCAAAAACAAGAAACAACATGAGTTTTGCACCACATAGATAGAATATAAAGTAATATCTGTGTTCTCTAAATTTAAATATTATATATGGAAACGTTGTATGAATATAGATGCTCACAATGCCCTTACAGCCAATGAAATTATTTAATCCAAACAGCAAATAATTAAGAAAATTATAACTTAATGTGCATTTGATTGCCAGCCAAGAGCAGACACAGACTTCAAATGTGTGTTTAGAAAATTTTTACTTACAATCAAAGGAATGAATGGAATTTTTTAAGCCACTCATTTCACTCTTTATAGGGAGATGTAAAACAAATATTAGTGTAAATATAATTACTCTGAGCTAAAAACCTATTGTTGACAAAGTTAGGCAAGACTAACGTGACTGCCTAACCAAGACAATAAAAAAAGTAGCTTATAACAGCACAGTCGCAATAGTTAACACTGGATAAGCGCAAAAATTATCAGGCTGAACTGCAGGACTTCTATGATGAACTATAGATGACATGTGATGCAAATATATTCCTAGTTAAATTGATTTACTAGTTACTACACATATGCATAAGTCCTCAACTTTAATTGTAGGTATGGCTTAATACTACGGTCCAATGAGGATTCTAAATGTGTAACCACCCATTGTTTTTTAAGTTGATGCAACCATAAAGAAACACTAACAAACCAGCTAGCAGAAGTCCTGCACAACTTACGATGCAGTAGATCTTTATTCACCATTGCAAGAGCAACACAGCCAATAAGAACCTACATCATCAATTCAAAACAGATCATCAAACAAAATAAGACACTGAGTTTGGAAAGAAAGGGACATTATAAATTATTCATACCTTGTCAGCAAGGGGATCAAGGTAGGAACCCACTACAGAATCATAAGTTAATTTAAATCGACTCCTATCATAAGTTAAATTTTTTTTTTCACATAAATTGATTACTTTCATTTTATTTTTAAATTTTTTTACATAAAAATTGAATTGACTTTTATTTTACTTTTGAATTTTATTTTATACAGAAGTCAATTTAAATCGACTTTCATTCTATTATTAAATTTTTATATAAATTAACTTTTATTCTTGTTTCAAAATTTGTTTATACATAAGTTAATTTATTGTAACTTTCACTTACACATAAATATGTTTTAGTTAGAAAGAAATTAATTATAATCAACTTTATAAATGCATATAAAAGTACATTTCAATATATTTTACTCTCTATGAAATAAGTTTAATAAAAATGTTCGTCAACATGTCACACCGTTGGAGAGGAGGGTGTTTTTGTGATATCCGATAGACATCATGTAATCAAATTAGCTCTAGAAGCGATAAAGAGTGAGTGACACTCCCTTCAACATATCATGCATATTGTGGGGTTCGACACATTGGATCATATAAATGTCCATCCTCAACATGTGACATCATAGGAGTGTGTTTTTGTGATACTTGATAGGCATCATGCAATCAAATCAACTCTAGAAGTGACAAGGAGTGACATTATCTTCAGCATATCATGCATATTGTGTGCGGCACATTGTATCATCAAAATGTCTGTCATCAACATGTCACATCATAGGAGTGTGTTTTTATGATATCCAATAGGCATCATGCAATCAAATTAGCTTTAGAAGTAACAAGGAATGAGTGACATACCTCCAATATATCATACATACTGTATGCAGTACATTGTGTCATTGTGTCAAATTTTGCTGTAAGATTTAAGAATAGAGGTGCAAAACGATTGCTAATAAAGGTTATTATCTCACTCTAATTTTCACATTTAATTTTAAAATTTCCTCATCTTCAAAAAGTAAATGTGTGTTTATAATTGACTTCAATTATGCATCACAAAGTTGATTATAATTGACTTATTTCTAAAATATATTCATGTGTAAGTGAAAGTTATAATAAATTAACTCTTTGTAAATAAATTTTGAAATTAAAATGAAAGTTAATTTAACTTAATTTTTATATAAAAAATTAAAAATAGAATGAAAGTCAATTTAAATAGAATTCTGTAAAAAAAATTCAAAAGCAGAATAACTTCTGTATAAAAAAAATTTAAAAGTAGGATAGAAGTTGATTTAAATAAGTTTTTATATAAAAAAAATTAAATCTATAATAAAAGTCGATTTAAATTAATTTCAATATATTTTTTTTAAAAGAAATCAATTTAAATTAACTTTTGTTATATATACTTTCAATATTTGCATAAATTTTTTATTTTCTAAGACATTTAGAGGAACGATGAGTTTTTTTAATTTATTTATGAAAAAAAGCCATATAAACCGGATGGTCGTTGACCCACAACAAAGGCCTGGAACTGTAGAATTTTTTCCCATGGGAGCCAAGATTTTCCTCTCGGTAGATTTCACGTTTAGTGTCTGAGTTTTTCATGTTTAGTTTGATATATTTAATATATGTTTAGCTTTATGTTTATTGGTGATAAATTCACTTTTACGGTACTAATTATAATTTTTATATTGAATTTATGTTAATTGATTTTTAAGCATAAATTCAAATACACACTCAATTAAATAAGGGTGTTTAATTGCAAAACAGACAATTGCTTCTTCTTCTTTTTTTTCCATAATGATTTTTGACTTTGATCCATAATTTCGTGACAAGAAATTATTCTTCCTTCAACTAATTGCTCTTTTATATAGATTTTCTCTCTATCAATAAGTGTGTATGTTTTCTCTAATTCTTTTTTATTTGAACAAGCAATCTCTGTATGCATGTTTATTGGAATATAGGCAATGCAAATGGATTTATTTATTCTTTAACTCCTAAAACTGTTACTTATTTACTATCTTTTATACCGTTGAAAGAGATTCTTGTTTATGGGCCTTAAGTTCTATTCATGATCCATTTTTTCCGTTAGAAAAAATCGGCTAATGTATTGCCATTGAAACTTCAGTCTTATTGTAGTTTTTAGTTGCAATCTATTTTTAGACACATCTCTATTATCTCGCTTTTTTGCTTTATCCCATTGTTCTTTTCCTCTTTTCTTCCAAGCATTGATCTTGGAAATTCCAACGTGCTTCTGGCCTTGAACCTCCAGACACGTAACTATGTTAATTTTAAGGAACAAATCTGGGCATTAAATTGCACTGGATCAACTGTTTGCTTCAAGGAAGTGGTCATACCACAGCGCAACTATCAATTTCAACCTACTAAACAACATGAAAGCAAATTTTTTATTCTTCAATGGCTTTGTTGATATGGTGAGTAATATAATTCTTTGTTTAATGCATTTTAATATAATGATCTAATATACTTATTAAATAGGAGAGGGATATTTCAATTACTTTACTAAAAATTTATGGTTAGAGTAATTTTTCATGCTTTGACAATGTGGTGATTGAAAAGCATTGAACTCAAGTCTTTTCAAAGCTTAAAATTGAAAATGGGTTGCATGCCTCGGTCTCTTTTTTTTCTACATATTTTCTTGAATGTATGTGAGTTGGATTGAATTTGTGGTTGAAATGTTTTGCAAAGAATGATTGTTTTTCTAAGCATATATTGGATTGCCAAGAATATATTGTTTTTGCATTGAACTAATATGTAAATATACACGGACTAGATTTAAACTCAAGTCGTTCATTGATAACCTGATATGACTTTCATTCCCTAAATTCAAGTTAAAAAAATGGATTGAAAATAGAATGGAGGAGAGGTTTAGTTGGATGTGATGATGTTATCCTCATGTAATATGTGCTAACTTGTTATAATGATGTTTTGAGTTCGGATTCTTCTATAGCAATTGAGCCAAGAATGACAGGTGTGGCAAGGGAATAGAACAATCTTTACGTGAATTTTGAACTTCAGGAGTTTAGGGTAGTTCTGAGAGAAAACAGTCACTATGACAAAAGTCTTAAGGTCAAAGTGGTAAGAGAATAATGAAGAGAGATTTTGAAATTAATGGTAGATACTGATTGGCACTTAAAAATTTTATTCTTGAATTAAAAGAAAAAAGGTATAAATTGAGGATAATGACATAAATGAGTCATGCTTTTCATAATAAATTATTTGTAATTTAAAAATATTAAAGTTATTTTTAGATTAGCACTATTTATTCTCTCTAACTAGTCATATAAAGAATTGTATTAAATGACAGGTAACCATTGGCTTGGCAATTTGAAATCAATAATTAAGGAAATAAACGATAATAGAATAATATTACATAAGGATAAAAAAAAAAATAAGCATATATAATATAATACATTTGTTAGCAAGGTTTAAGAATAAAATAAATGTCTAGAGAATTAGAAGGTCAAATGCTTAACTTTTTTAAGTTAGGGAGCATGGAAAAGATACAAAATCAACTCTTAAAATAGGATAGGTGATATATGATTAATAATGAAATATGTAACCATAAGATTTAAAAGAAAGTTAAATTTGGAATATTTTAATTTGATGATTAAAGCATGATGAAATGTAGTACCAACCCGTGATGATGTTCTTTTTACCAAATTGTATATTAATATTTTTTTTGATAATAAATATTAGATGACTTGAATACATAGTTACATATACACACAAGAAAAATCATTTTCTTTAATCAATATAAGTGTATCATATTGCTTAACAATATAAAAGTATCCAAATTTGATTAAAACTGTTAATGGTCGAATTTCGCAACATCACATTCCCAATAATAGATATAGAAACCTATTTTCGCCCAAAGTTTAAGAATAGAATGAATTTACCCTTTTTTAAGAATCTAGAATGGATTTTGCAACCAGCTTGTTCTTATTTGCTACTTACTAAATTCTCTAGTTCTAGTCTAGGTGGTCAAGTTCCACAACGGAGTTTTAAGACAAGAAAGAAGTGAAGAAGATTCTCTACGTTTTCATTTATTCAAAGTGTAAAAAGAGTTAGTAAAATATTGTAAGAACAAGTTGGTATCCTTGTCAGAGTTACCTTGCAGAATATAACCCAAGTTCCTTTTTTTTTTCAAACGTGTCAAAGATAAACAGCAAAGATTAACTATGTCAAAGAAACTCAATTTTAACACCGAAAACTAAATTAAGTAATCTTATTCTCCTCAGACATAACTATAAAACAGATTTTCCAGTAGTTGGATTCTGAACAACGTCTTACAGTTGCACAGTTTCAAAAATTTAGCCATATCACACCATCATTCTATTTTTCTTTAATCATTCTTGCATGCAAATTGTTCTAAATATTATTATAAGTTTTTAATTGTAATTTTTTCCTGGGATTTGTACAAAAGGCCTAGCTAACTAGCTAGCCACCAACAAGGTTTGAGAAAATGGGTTGCTTCCCATGCTGTAAGTCAGATGTTGAAACATCCTCTTTCAGAGCCTCCAGGAAAATTTCCAAAGGCAGGAAAACATTCAAATCATTAGCGGCTGCTATGTCACTTAAAACAGGTTTGTGCTAACATATGGTTCATTAATCGTTGGAGACACATATTTTAATTTATCTATTTCCAATCCTATCAAACTGTTGGATGATAATTCAAAAAAAAATTGTTGAATGCTAATTCCTTCCTCATTATACCTTGAAAACAAATCCATTCTTTTGATTTTAATATTTTTCGTTTGTTTTTAACCCTTTAATCTGTTTCAGAGAACATTTATAGCAGTTTAATTTTTTTAATCAACTTCTATCATGCTCTAGATTTAGAGTCTTCAAAATCACGGAGATGATATAATGATGGTTCATGAACATATTTTGAAGGAATTTTTACTGATTAATGTCATTAAATTGTTTGATTTAATACATTTAAGAACTCAACGACAGTCTTCCCTGATAGAGATGAATTTCCTAATTATATGAACAAAATCCATGAAAGTTCATATTAGAATCCATGGCTTCAAATGTAAAAGTGGATGAATCATTTGTATAATAACTAAATGGTCTCAAATTGCAGGTAGCAGCAGGCATAGACAAATAGATGCAGAGATAAGAAAATATGGAACTGCAAAAAATGATGTTAAAATATTCACATATGAAGATGTCTCTGAAGCAACAAACAACTTCAGTGCTGATTGCCTGGTAGGAGAAGGTGGATTTGGAAATGTCTACAAAGGATACTTGAAAAGTGTTGAACAAGTATCTTTCTTACCCTCTCTCTCAAGAACACTCATATTTCATTATCAATATTTTCCTGTTTACAAGTTTGTGGAATTCTCATGTTAAAATGTTTGGTGTTCAGACTGTAGCTGTGAAAGTACTGAACAGGGAAGGAAACCAAGGAACACGAGAATTTTTTGCAGAGATTTTGACGTTAAGCATGGTGCAACACCCAAACCTTGTTAGGCTCATTGGTTATTGCGCAGACGGCGATCATAGGATTCTAGTTTATGAATTCATGGCCAATGGGAGTTTGGAAAATCACCTTCTAGGTATGAATGAATAATTCTAAATTCTCGTATCTTTCATGCATACAATCCTCCTAATTACTGAATGAAAAAACTATTAAATATGTTTCATATTTTCCATACAATAAATGTATGCACTTTTTCATTTAATACATTTTGTAATAAGAGAATTATTAGGACACTATAGCAAAGCTAGGCACGAATATGATATGATGGCCAAAACCATTCTGCTAAAACACATAGATAGCTTGCAACAGCAATTCTAACTAGAATTTATTTATCTCAGATATAGGTGCAGATAAGGAACCATTGGATTGGAAGACTAGAATGAAAATAGCTGAGGGAGCAGCTAAGGGACTTGAACATTTGCATAACAATGCAAATCCACCAATTATATACCGTGATTTTAAATCATCTAATATCCTATTAGATGAAAATTTTAATCCAAAGCTCTCTGATTTTGGACTTGCAAAGATTGGTCCAAAAGAAGGCCAGGACTTTGTGTCAACAAGGGTGATGGGGACCTTTGGCTATTGTGCACCAGAGTATGCTGCAACGGGTCAGCTAACAACAAAGTCGGATATTTACAGTTTTGGGGTCGTGTTTTTGGAAATAATTACGGGTAGGAGAGTATTTGACACTGGAAGAACCACAGAAGAGCAAAACTTGATTGACTGGGTATGTTGTTACATTACATGCTTCTATTTTGATATATAATATATAGTTTCATTTGATGGTTTATGTTGCTTGAGGAGCATTGATGTTAATTAGTCTTGGAACTTGGAATTTATGGTGTTCTTGTTATATATTTGGCAGGCACAACCTTTGTTTAAAGACAGAACAAAGTTCACTCTGATGGCTGATCCTTTGCTTAAAGGTCAATTCCCTGTGAAGGGTCTGTTTCAAGCTCTTGCAGTGGCAGCAATGTGTCTCCAAGAGGAAGCTGAAACACGGCCTTACATGGACGATGTTGTAACTGCACTTGCGCATCTAGCAGTGCACAAGGTTGGAGAAAAAGACATAGCTGGTGAATCTATAAAGATTGCTGGGCATGTTGAATCATTCAGAGCTGCAAGTTCAATTGGATCTGAAAGGGCGTAGCTTCCTTGACCAGACACAGACTAGGATACACTACAAACATTGAAAAGGGTACACTAAAAATTGTTGTACAAAGATGAACGTGCTTCTGTGTATTTCTGTTTGTGTAACATCCTACAGTTAAATTTTAGGCTGTTACACTTTCCTTATGTAACACTTTCCTTATGGAAGTGAATTCAGGGTCCCTTAAAATTAATATTTTTTTTCATCATTATAACTAAATTTTCTATTTTTCATTTTATTTCATCTTTCAACATCTAACACTAAGATCCAAAAACATTAATGTGCCCCCCCTATTTATAAAATACTTTATTTGATAGATGTACACAGATAGAGCATGCCATTTGTTTACCATCAAATCTGCTTACTCAAGCTTTAGAACAAACTGAATCTGAAATCTGAAAGGCCATAAAACTAAACGCATATGAAACATAGGATATAACAAAGAAAATGAAAAACAAATGAGCCCAAAATTAAAATAAGTTGCCCAAGTATGGCAACACACCCCGTAACATAAAATGAATATGCGGCAGGTTTTTGTCCCTCACAAAATGCTGCATGCATGCTAACTCAGTGTCACTTAGAGGTGAAAAGTGTTAATATCATTTTTGAGGATCTGGTAGCTGTAACCAGGAATTCTGCTTAATTGATTGGTTTCAGCTACTTCTGCAACAGAACAGATTTTGGGAAGGAACCCACTTCCACTTGTGCCTCTTCTCTTCCTTCTCTTCCAGGTTGTTAGCAAGACCCAGAAACTGGGCCTGGACATGGAATAACTTCTGCCAGAAAGCATGTCCACGTCCACAAAGTGCTGCTGAGGTTTCTTTGAACTTCCTCTTCTGTCTAACTCAAACTTGGTGAAGTATTCAATTTCCTTCCTCACGAGAGATCCAATAGTGCCTCTTGTACCTATAGCAACAGGAGCAGCCATTTCAGATGTGCTGCTGGTTGTGGCACTACTCTTTATAGTGCATAAATTTACTGTTAAAATGAGAGAGGCTTCTACTTGAAGAAAGGTGTCGTCATGGTTCTTAATTTTCAATTTGGAGCATCTATCTTTTGATCTTTTGTTAAACAATAAATATTAACTTGCTTTATGAAAAGCAAAAGCATGAAATTTCCCATAATTGAAACTTTAAAAAGTTGAAATCATCACAATCTTCCAGTGTCTTGATAAAAACTAGCTTGTTTTCCGGACATCATACTTTAATACACTTTGAACATGTGATCGTAATTTTGAGAAATTCTTAGGGCATTCTATTAAATAGTCAACATGTATGGATGCATTTAGAGATTAGAGCATTTTTAGTGTTAATATCACAAACACATATAATATTGAATGGAGTGGGATAGACACTGCATAATTAAAGTTTCTTATGCACTTTGATAAGTGATATCTAGGAATTTCTTGATAATAGTAGTAGTCATTTTTTCAGGGAGGGTAACTAAAAAACTACAAAATCGAAACTCCTACCGCCCTCAGTGGTTCCTGCTTTTTCTTTATCTGTCATGTCAAATTTTTTCTCCGCCTTTCATGCCTTTGCTATTGGAAAGCGAGTCGATTTTTCATTCTCACGGTGCTTTTTGGGCATGGTTCTCTGTTGGCTTATTGCTATTTTCTCCTGTCCACCTCATGTTTTCATTTAATCAAACTAAAAACAATAATAAATTAAGGGACAGAATGTTTTTACATAGGAATAAATTTAAAAATTTTTACATTTAATCAGAGTCTTTTATTTAACTTATATTAATAAATTATAATTTATTATTTTATTTACCGTTAAATATAAGTTAAATAAAAACTTAAGATTGAGTATAAAAGTTTTTGAACTTGTATTAATACAAAAGATTATTTTTCATAAATTAAATATTGGATTTAATGCAAATGAATTCTCTTGCAAGATTTTTTCATATATAATTTTTATAAATTACAGATATAAAAATATAATGTTTTTTAAAAAATTATGTAAATATGAAGTTTAAAAATCATCAATAGCTTTTAATGTAGGTATACAAATTTAAAGATAAGAGATAAAAAAGTGATAAAGTTTTAAAAGTCTGATTTTTAAAAAAAATATTAAAATTTAAAAAAATAAAAAATCGTTACTATTGACAATTTTTTACTTAAAGTTGACAGACGGCAATTTTTTAAAAAATTATATCCCGTAATTTTATCAAAAATTTTATATTTTTTGAATTTTGAAAAAAGACCCTTCCTTCCACAAACATAATTTAAAATATTTTAAAAAGTTATTTAAAGTAATTATTCAGTCAATTAAAAGAAGACTAAATGAAAAAACAAATTGGTTAAATATGTGTGAATTAAGAGCTTGATGTAAGATTTTTCATAAATGTAACCATAAAATTTATTAAAATAAATTAAAAATAATTAATATTAAACTTTATTTGAAAAATTAAATAATAAAATAATAAATTAAAAAAATACTTAATAGCTATTAGTCAAGAATTCAAGTGTTAAACTAACTTATTGAAGTATAAGTGTTTGATGTGAACCGGAAAATAAATGTAAAACAACGTAAAGAACATGTTTATATAGCTTTTTAATATATAAATTGTAAAATTGTTTTTAAAGAAAAAGCATTTAGATAATTATATTTTTAAATTATTTTAGTTAATTAAGTTTTTATCATTTTTTGAAAGATCAAATGTGTTAAAGTTAAATTAAATAGTGCAAATAGAATAACAATTAATGTATATAGCAAAACAAAGAATAACAATTAATGTAAATTATATAATATTAAAAATATTCATAAACGATAAAAAAAAAAGAATAATTAAAATAATATGTAGGTGGGTACTACAATAATTTGTGAAGAGATAGGTAATATTAAGTTTTAAAGGAAAAAAACTTAAGTTTACTACTTAAATACATATTTGGTCTATTTATTTTGTAAAAATAATAATTTTTTGAATTTTTGAGAGAACTATTGAAATTAGTGATTGTTATGATAGAACTCAGTAGAACCAAATATGTTATAAATACTTTTTATGTATTTTTAATGAAATTAGACTTTTTGTTAAGAATAGAAAAAATATTGACACTAAATATTTTTCTTCATTATCAAAATAAAATTTTAATTTTAATTTAAAACTACATGATAAAGAATGATTTAAGATACTATCCCTCTTTCATAAATTAAGAGGGATATTATCAACTAATTAAAATATAACACCGATATGATTTTTATATGAATTATTACATAAATCAATAATTTTTCCTAATATGATAATATATAATTCAATACTAATGTAACCCCAATTGTGTGTTTAAATAAAACAAATAAATTTTATAAATATTCTTTTAATTGCATCCTGAATACATTTTTTTATATTGTTCTAATTACATTTAATTTTATAAAGAAAGGTGAGTGATTATATTTGAATGTCATATTAGCCTTTTGCTTTTATCTCTTTTTTACCCTTAACTTACATTCCATCGGTAGGTAAACTATCATAATGATTATCTTCATCCTTTCTGAGGTTTTGTTAAATTTTCATCAAACGATCAAATAAAATTTGTATTCAACCATCCTCTATTTCTTAACTTTTTTATTTTTATTTTGTTAATGCTTAACAGTATATATTTCTTTCGTATAAGTTTTTTTTTGGGTACATTATTTGGCATAGGATTAAGAAATAAGAATAGATTCCGAGAAGAAAAATAATATGCAATGGGAGTTAGTATCCTTATCCTCCCTCAGAGGAGTGGGGAAAACATTGGCCTTTTGTCATCGAGTTTTTCTAAATATAAAAGCATTTTGTGTAAATTTTCACCAAATAAATTCAGTCAGTATAAAATAATTAACATAAAATTCAGATGATACGAGAATAATTTCCTATACTTTAGAATACACTAAATCACAATTTATAGTACCAAGGTCACCTAGATGATTGTGAAGGTCGGATAAAAGATCTTGCCTCAATAATAAGTGGAGGAGGGATCAGTCTCCGCTTCCAGCACAGCTACAAGCTTGCCATTACCAAGTTTATGATACAAAATAATAGGAAACCAAAAAAATAAGGTATACTATGCAATAAACGACAGACAATGCACATCTTCCTAAGCCTCAAAATTGGACATCCATTGTCTTTTCTTTTATACACAGACATTCATTGTAATTCTATAAGAAGAATGTTGTCAAACACTCTCCGTATGTGTATGTGGGTATATATCCTTCCTTTGTTTTTTCTTGTATTTGTGTATTTGTGTAAGATACAGTGAGCAAGTTATTGTATGCAGGGAAGATGGCACACGTACCCTAATCTCCGATGTGAATTAAGAGCTTGCTGCAGAGCAAGATTGATACTGGCACCCTCCCTGAACAACGAATCATAAAATTGACAGACAAATTGAGAAAGTTCCCCTTCATCATCATCCCAAAACGACAGAGCACGGTTCTCATTTTTCTCTGTGTCACTATCTTCCCAGTCACTTAAGGGACTGTCCGGTGCAGTCTCATCTTCAGCTTCATCCTCTCCAATTTCAAACTTCCCATTTTCCATCACATTCAATTCCCCGGTACCATCGAAGGTAGTCATCTGAGACACTGGGGGTTCATTTGAAGGGCAAATGACAGCTTTGGCACCAGAGTCTAGAAAGGCCTTGATAAGAGCGGGAGTAGGTCCATATGTCCCAGTGCATATGACGATCCTGTCTCTCCAGGCTCCAACCTAGATTATTCAAGACATCAAGGGAAAGAGCAAAACAGAAGTGAGTCACAGAACATTGCCGTGCCAAAAATAAAAGTGATCATGTATAATCAAGTGATTAACATCCAACCCTCGTTAAAATAGATCTGTATTAATTCAAGTGAAACTCCCTTTAAATCAATTGGGAGCAAGTCACATACCATCCATCGAACATCATCGGGGGATAAATGCATTGATGGGACTGTCCTACGGAACATATAGGAACCAATTTCTTGATCATCTTCCATAACCTTCAAAAAGGATAACCAAATTCAGCTTTCTAATAGATGTATCACTGTGGTTCAGAAAGTTGTGAAGATGCATAAGGGAAAGAAGACATACTAAGGTTTGACGGCCTAGATAACGGTGGGCAATGCCTCCGATTTGGAAACAAGGTTTAAGGGCAACCAAATCAGAAATGGTAGAAATATTGGTCAGCAGAGACGCACCCCTTCTGCGGTGGCTCCTCATTGTTGACAATAAACTTAATTTAACACTTTGCAGAAATTTCTCAGCAAGCTCTCCAGGTTCAGCCACCACAAATACATCACTGCGCCAACTAAACAGATAGGCACGAATATCATGCTTCCATCCAAAGTTAGTAAAAACTGAAAAAAGAGAAGGGGGTGAGAAATGATTAAAATAGAGTAAATACCTCAGAATCAAGCCATCTGAGTCATTTTGAAGGTCCAAATGTATAACACCCAATTGTGGTGAATTTTGCAATTTCTCATGCAATGATCTGACAAGCAAAGAGAGTTGTCTAAGACCTCGAGGCGACACTGGGGGTGATGCAGCTATTTTTCCCAGTTGGCCATCTAAGCTTAAAGGTGGAACCATGTCAATTCGTCCAATCCGCTGACCAAAATCAGGACTATATACAAGTGGACTTGACGGAAAGCTTCCTGTAAACAAAGGGGAAGTAAATGGAGTCGGGAATGCTGTTGCTGGTGTTGTCCTTTCAGTCCCTGACAAACCATGCATGAAGGATAATCGTATGCCACTACGAGCACAAAATGACTCAAGCTCCTGGACATGGTGCTTTGCTCTTCCAGAATCGGGATTATGTAAAGCTTCCACAAGTAATACATTACGCCTCCACCCTAGAGTGGGGCCACAAGTGCCTGATAAAGTAGAATATAAAGAATTTTAAATTTTAAAAGTAGGGAACACCAATAGGGAAATTTTACAGTATAGAACAGAACACATTAGCTGCAATACCCTCATTTGGCTCCTCTGTTTTGGGTACTTTAGACCTTAGATTCTCTAACCACCTCTCTTCGTGCTGGAAAGGCAGTAGCAATCTCTCACAGACATTTTCAAATGCCTGATGATTCTTTTGTATATATTCTTCAACAGCAGATTCCAATTTCAGCCAGATTGTTGGATCCGTCTCATCAAGTTCCATACCACAACGTTCATCAACTGCATGGCAAATCACAGAGAAGAATGATTAAGAATTTAAAATTCTTCCAAGATTAGGTGTTCTTTAATGATCTTACCCCATCAAACAAGAAAAAGAAGTTAAAATTTGAAGAGAATAGAAGATCATTGTTACTTGACTCAAAATAGAATCAGTCCTCATTCCAAAACGCAAGCATCATACCAGGATTAAAACGAAAATATTGTGTCTCAGGAAGCATAGGTAGCAGTGTACTTAAAGCTTCCTCCACTCGGTCAACCGAGCATGCACTCTCAACCAACACCTGTCCTGTATCCAGATACCGCCATCCCCCTTTTCGCACCTACAAATGCAAATATGTAAGAAAATAAAGTACATAAAACATAGTACCCAGTAGCTTCAATAGTCAATCGCATATCTCCTAAAGTCAAAATTATTAATCACATTCTTGCTAGTGTTACACATTGACCAAACTAGAGAAACAAGTGTAACACTACAATAATTCATCAAAGGCCTTATCTCGTTTTTTTTCCCCCAAATACATAGCATATTGCACAGCTGACACAGAGAGAAGAGCAGTTAGTTACCCTTGTTGGAATAGAACCACACCCTAATGAAACCAGGCAATCAATTGTTGTATCAGGCCACAGAAGTTGCGCTTCTCTTATGGCAAAAATTGTTGGGTTGTTGGCCACTATTGCACCATCTTGCCAGCGATTGATATCTTCAGGCATGTTGCGGGGTTGAAAGATATAAAAATCATAAACATAACAGAAAATGGGAAGGTAACAAAAATTAATATTTGAATACAGAAATTGAATGCAAACAGTAATAGTGCAGGAATTACCATCAGAGAAATCATCAAGATAATAAGGAGCAGCAGACGAAGCCCTGATAGCTTGCCACACTTGATGCTTGCAACTTCCAATGAAAGCACTGTGCTTAAAGCCAATTGGTGCACCTGTTGTAGATGAAGCTAATACACTGATCCCTGAATTTTCTGATATTGCAGGAGCCACCTCTGACGTTCCAGCAGGGTACTGCATTCAGATTGAAAAAGTAACGAGTGACATTAACAAATATAAAAAAGTTAAATTATACATTTACTTTCCACAATTTACACACATATACGGATTAGTCCTTATATTTTAAAAAAGTAACATTTTCTTTTTTTTTTTTTGGCCCCTCTCATTAACCGTGTTAATAATGACACATGGCAGAGTCTAAGACTTAAGAAAATACTCACTTGGAAACTAAAACATAAGTTTTTGTAAGCACATAAACTAATTTGTAAACAAATATTAATTATAATTATCAAAAGTATATTTTAACTAGAAATAAAAAAAAATTCATGAACTTGTCTAAAAAAAATTAAAAATGAGCCACCACATAAAAGAATCATGAATTTTAAAAATACTAAAAAATCGTATATTAAATCAAATATCATTTATGATTTAAGATTATATATATTTATTAATAAAACTTGTTGATTTGGTAAATATATAAATCAATTAAAAAATAATAATTATAGTTAATAAAATATTAAAAATAATTGACATATAATAAAGACTTTTTATTACAGTTAAAAAAATATCTAGGCATATTTAGTTTTTTTGAGTCGATATAATAGAACCCAAAAAAGATTAGATATGTCTAAATAATTTTTTTTATTTAATTGATAGAGAAAATAACAAAATGACCAATTAATGAGATTTTGACTCAATATAATAAAAAATAGCTTACTTATATCATAGTAAAAAATTTATGAATTTATTTATGTAATAAAATTGATCTTCTAAAATTTTGTAAAATAGTATAATTTCACATCTTAAATATAATAAATATTTTATTTCTTATATAAAGAAAAGTATTTTTCAAATATATTATAGAAATTGATATATCATATTAAAAAATATAGGCTTAATTAAGTGTTTGGTCTTTATAAAAGTTGCATAAACACTTAATTAAGATATTTAATTTCAAATTATGCAACTTCTTTAAAATTATAATTGATTAAAATACATATTTAGTTTTTATATTTAACATGTTTATGAATTAGTCCTTATACTTAAAAAAAACAAAAAACTTACGTATTAGTCTTTATACTTAAGACAACTAACATTTTAGTATGAGTATTTTGTTATGATTTAGTTTTTTTTCCATTGTTAATGCCGATACAAAGCTACGGATCAAAACTTAACAAAATTCTCATAGGGCTTAGGGCTAACTAAAATGTAACTTTTTTAAGAATAAGGACTAATTCGTAAATGCATTTTAACTATCAAGATTAAATGTATAATTTGACAATAGTAGCAAATAAATGGGTGTTCTTAAGGTACCCGTAAGGATACTCAGGTACAGCAGCCAAGGTGAGTGGTCAAACATCTATCGATCATTGTGGAACCATAAATGGTCAAAATTCATTGACTATAATCAACAAGAAATGAATGTTAGACAACTCACCCCAGCTACCAGTAACCTAGCAAAAAAGATGGGTACCTAAGTGATTCCCATTAATAATACATTAACATCCTAAAAGATAAATGCTTTTATAGCCATTCAGCAACAATGTCGTTTAGAATGCAAATAGTATAAAAAAAAGGGATTTTTGGTAACTTCAGCTGAAAATAAACAGCTAATAATAATAAAATTTTATTAAAAAAAGAAATATTTATTGTATTTTTATAACTTTAATATAATAACTATGCACTTTTTTCATAAAAAAATTTTTATCTGTGGATGCTTAAACTCAGCCCTACTCTAAACCCTAAGGGTAGGGCTGAGATTAACAAAATCTTAAGAAAATTGGCCACCCACCTGATAATTGCGGAATATGAAGGGCTGTGCTGGCATGACACTCACCAAGGTTGATACGACAAAAACTTTGGGCACATTTTTTACAGCAGAATCTATCATTAGATCCCCATCCTCATCGGCACATATTTCCTTCAAAAGCCTCTCGAACTGATCTGCACTGTGCTGCAACAGTCATAATTCTTGTTTTAGGCCATAGAGCTATAGATTAGAGATGTGGCTTAGTAACTATTTAAAAATACCAGCAAGCTTTAGACAAGATTACACATTGCGCCATCTGTCTTCAAATGTACTACATGTATTGGAAACAAAGGATCTAATATTGTTTAAGTATCCTGTGTCCTCTCAGAATTTCTCAAATACTCATTTCTATGACAAAATAATGAGAGGAGACAGAAAAGTGATAAGAACAACATATTTTATGAATGCAGCAACATTTAAGAAAAGAAGCACATACTTTTGATCCATGAACAACAACTCTAAAACTCCGTGACGAACTCTTATAAAGTTGATCTAACTTCTCTTTCCACGTAGCAGCCTCATTGTCTTTCGGCACCGGCTCAGCGAAAACAAGCTTCCCTGATTCATAATGCTGGTCAATAATTTTATCTACAATTGTAAAGCAAATTGCCAGATCAATAAACAATCTCATTACGAAGCATCAGCCTCACCAAGATTTTTGTATATATCTTCACATTGTTCCAAGGACATTAACTTAATCCCAAGGGCAACAGCTAGCATTCCTCCCGTTGATGTACCACATATTAAATCAAACAATTCATGTATTCGTTTTCCAGTTCCCTTTTCAATTTCCTTAAGCATTCTCACAGTTGCTAGACCTTTCATCCCACCTCCATCCATTGAGAGGATGCGAAGTCCTTGCTTTGGCACTTGTCTCCCTCGTATTGCACGTCGCAGGTTTTCATTTTCTCCTACAAAAGCACATCATGAAGAAGCCTGTTCAGCACTCACTAACCAGGTCAAACATTCTGGTAAACACAGATAAATTAAATACAGAGACATACCAAGAATAGCCAAAGCACGAGCTGCAGCTTTATAAACACGACGCTCAGTTGCAAAAGTCAAGCGTAAGAGAAGTTCTTGTAAGCTTTCAGAAGTAACAAGTATACGACGATTCTCCATACAGAAGGCCAAATTCCCAACAGCTAACAGAGATAGCCTTTGTACCTATAAAATGATAAACCATGAAACTAAAGGACCATTGAATGAATGAATCAAACCAATAACATGAAAAGAAATTTAAAAACTTGCCTCCGGATCTTTATGGGCACATAAATTTTTCAATGATTTCAAAATATCCTTGTTCAACATCTTCTCAGCCACAGTACCAGATGTAAAAGCCATTTTCACCATAACTTGCAACACAGATATTATCTCTTCCTGACCCATTGATTTGAGAATTTTTCCAATGGGTTGCATGATATCAGCTTTGATCAGCTGCAGTGCAACCGAAACATCGGAGGCAAGAGCTGAAAGAGCCGAGCATGCTTGTTCAACCTGTAAAATATATAAACATGGTGACAACTCAACCACCAAAAATTGCACAATAAATAAAATCTTATGTCTAGAACCATTAAAATATACCACATGTCGGATGTCACTACTTATCATACTTATAAGCTGTCGCATTGCATTCTCGTCTTTACCAACAACCACTCTATTTCCATGGTCTTGCATTATCTTTGCAAGTGCAGATGCTAGTAAAGGGTGATGACAAGAAGAAAAACGGAAGATAAGAGAGAAGAAGGCACTGAGCTTATGCCTAGAAGCAGCAAAATAAGAACTGTTTTCCATCTGCAATGACCAAGGAAAAAAAACCTCTTGACTAAATATGTAATGAATTTTCAAAGAATAAAGCCAAAAGGTAGTCAAGTTACTTTTCAGAAGAGCTACCTCTATTTGCACATTCACTGATCTCAAATACTCATCTGCCACAATCCTAATATTTGCAAGAGAAAGGTGGCGAAGTTTGAGGAGGGGCAAAATTTCGGGAAGAAACTCAAGAGGATTTCCAAATAGCCTGAGTACCCGTAATTCAGCCATGGCTCTGTCATAAATATAGATATCAGTAAGGTCAGAAGAAAATATGGAGTCTAAACTATTCCATATTAAACTGTAGGATCAAATAACCTGAAATCAAGAAGAGGACGGACCAGCTTGTTGTGTTCCAACGATAATTCCACCAACTGAACACACTGTCTCAGTTCCACTGCTCAAAACACTAAAGGTCAGATACTACACCGATCAGAAGACCTTGGTTACTCAAGGAAGTATCCGAATACCACAGCACTATACCAAATGCACTCCCGGAATTTTTTAATGCATAGCTGCAGCTAGTGTGGCCTAGCACTCTCCCCACTTATATGCAGATGAAAGCCTCAAGTTATGCAGCATTAACATGGTTCGTTACTTTTAGGTAGTGTTGTCCATCGTATTTACTTGATATATATATCATATTCATAAATTGGTAATCTACATTCTAATAAGCAGACATGGAAAGCTTACCAGGCACCGAGATAAGCATGTTGCTGTCAACTCTAAGCACTCTTAAGCTTCTCAGCTTACCAACCTCCGGCGGCAAAACTGTGATTTTGTTGTTATCAAGATAAAGTTTTTCAAGATGCGGCAATTTAGTAAGCTCTACAGGAAGTACCTGCTCATAACCATAAATAGCAACCGCACGCAATTTAAATCTTCCACACGTTACTTTAAAACCATCAAACACAAATACACAATCACTTCAATCTGGAAATTCTAGAAACAGAAAACTCAACGAGCTTCTCTTGCACGAAACGTAGCAAAATAGCGAACATCAAAACATTAACTCCGATTAAGTTAACAAATCTCACCGACAAACCACAACCGCAGAGTCTAAGCACAGAAATACTCCTCCAATGGTCACCGCAGCCGTCGGAAACCGACGGCGTTGCGGCGGAAGCCAAATTGGAGCGCAAGAGGCGAATAAAAACGCCGGTGCCGTCGCTTTGCTGGCCAGAGGCTACAGTCTTGGTTACCGTCACAGTTCTTAGAGGCTCTCTTCTCTTGACAACGTTCATGTCCAAATCCACTCTCTCCTCGCCATCATCTGGCCTCAGTATCACCACCACTGAGTCCTGGGGCATCGGCAGAGCCACCATGAGCTGCGACTGAAGCTTCAGCGCCACCTGATCTTCATCCTCCGACGCTGACCACTCCAATTCAATGCGAAACCCTAGCTCCTGCTCCAGCGAGAGCGACGAAGACGTTGACGCACGGCGAAGAGTTTCCGGCGGATCGTCGGTGCCGTAGCAGAGAGTGAGATGGAAGATCTCAGAGGGCCTCTTCCATCCCAAGCCCCAAGACATTCTCAAAGGCTGGGAATGGAAAAGTGCGTCGAACTCTGATTTTAAGTGCAAACGTGCTCAATGTTCTCGCTCAGGACCTGAAAACAGCAGGGAGAAAGAAGAAGAAGAAACAGCAGCTGCTAAACGCGTGTCGTTTTTGCGAGAGCAAGACGGCGCCGTCGTATTTATTATCGTGAATGAAAATATTAAAAAGGGGGAAGGATCATTACGTTTTAATTATTTGGTGGCGGTGGTGGTGATCTACAAATCTCATTTTTATTAGTTACTAATTAATGTGATGAGTTCATTCGATAATCGATGGCCAAGGTTGATGCATGTAAATTCCAAGGATGGTTGAAATATTATCATACACTTTTTTCTTTTTTTTGTCAGAGTATATTCTACGCAATCAAAGGTAAAAATTTACACGTATCTCGAGAGAACTTAGAAAAAGGAGTTGTTGACGAATGAAATTGGATTGATTCTGAAAGAAATTAAAATCATTTTTACTCTTAGCTGTTTATGAAAAATATTTAATTAGTCTTTACTTAATTCCTTTTTATTTCAATCGAAAGTGAAATTATTATATTTTCCATCAGTGTTAACATTTTTTTTTCCTCTCAACTTCCATTGCTTTAAATCGCAGTAAATTTGTTAAGTTTTTGTTAATGTCAATCATGTGAAATCCTACTCTCTCTTTTTTTTTTTACAAAAAGTGCACTAATTTATTCATTATCATACGTAAGGTTGAGTTTTTTAAAATAAAACATGTGATTCTACATTTTTAATGGAATCGGCTAAGTTCTTAGATCAACTTTTAGAAAAAAAATTAGTGTAAAAATTAAATTTTTATAAATTAAAAATATCTTATCTCTTCAAATTTAAGAGAAATTAAATAAACAGTTATGAAAAATTTTAAAAAATTTAAAGAAATACAAGTTATTTATGACTCATAAAAAATTATTTAATTTTTATACTAACTATTTCTTCTAGAAAAACTTTTGTACAAGTTAGAATGTAAAAATGCTCCATTGTTCATTGTATGTGTCCATCTTTCTTGTGGAAGTGTTAAACAATCACTCACTTGTATGCTGAAAAAAATGAAGTCGATTCCAACATATTTAAAATACTATTTTATGTTGCAAATGAGTCATTATAGTCTCAATGAGCACGAAGGACAATTCCTCATGTCGCCTATGTCTTTTATAACTATTTGTCTATAAAGCATCACAAACAACCTTCCATAAGAACCGTTTTATTATGCGTGTTTCTACCAATTAAGGCAAACTTGCTTTTATAAATTGGACTCTGAATCCCTCTTTTTAACAAGCGGCTTACCAATGTCGACTGTCTTCTTACATAGAAGCAATGTCCAAGTCCAGCCCATTTTTATCAAATTTTTTCTCTGGTGGTATAAAATAAAATAAAAACTACACATTTTCTTTGTGTAGGATTTTAAAATATTTTAATAAATTAATATTAAAAATGTATTTAATAAAACTAGCAATAAGTTGATTGATAAAAGGTAATTAAAATTTTAAAGTTGAAAGACAGAAGTTAAAAAGTTAGTAAATTAAATTGAAAGTATTTTAAAAAATTAATTGTTAAACTAGCTGATAAATATACAACGATAGATAAAGATATCATTAATGTATAGTTTGTAATTTTTTTTATATAAATATAGTTTATAATTTGAAATTTAGTAATTATATTTTTTAAATAATTATAAAATTTTAAGTTTGTTCTTATTTTAAAATATTTTTATCAAATAAAATACTATAAATTAATTTACTTTTTTTAGTTTTATATAAAAATATTTAGTGATTTAGTTATATTTTACTAAGATTTGATGACAAAAATAATTTAGAAAAGTTGAATGTGATAAAGATAATAATAGTAAGATTTTAAAAGTTGAAGAAAGAAAGGAATGAATTATCCAAAATACAATATGTACAAAATTTTACAAAAAATCACTTTCAATTATAGTGTTTAAAAAAAAACTAATATCTACTTATTTAAGTTAGATTATCAAACAAAGCTATTTTTGTTAAACAAGCTAAATGAATGCTTTCTCAGGCTCACTTAAAATACAGTTTTTTATATATATAACTTTAAAGGATATCTTCAGTTGTATCGTTTTTGTTTAACAAACTATGATCGTATTTTTAAATGTGTGTGTATATATAAAATAATTATATACAATATTGCATATAAATTTATTTTTAATTTATTTAACTAATAAAATACGTAAAGAGTTCGTGCAACTAACATTAACATTGATAAATAATAATAATTTTAACATGGTAGGTTTGTTTTAGTTCAAAATTGATGATTAAAACTAAAAAAAATATTGAAAAGCAATTTACTGAAGTGAAACAGCTGATAAACTAGGCACGTAATCCAAAATTCTACTACGGTACTGCCCATATTCATTCCAACAGTACAATTGTACTTTGCTATTGATGTTGAATACAAGTGTGGCAGATGGGACACACTCTTTCTTCAAAATGAAAGATAGGCCCACTGTTCATCACGTCAACCATGCCTCTCGTATAATGCTGCTTCTGTCGGGGTTTTCACTCTTTCTTAACTAAACACGTAGAAATATGTGCTCCACACAGTTTATATTATAAAAACACCACAGGAACTGGTTCTCATTTCTGTGCAACATATTGTTTATTAAATTTTACCCAATAGAAAATAATTTTGCCATCATTATACCAAAATAAGTCTTCCTATTTTCTTTAGACGTTTTAAACGAATGTCCAGTTCAATTACAAAGTTAAAAATTCTCACAGAAAGTGAAGTTATGTCTCCAAAAATTTATATAAAATAACCCAGTCCTGGACTTCGAGAAGAAAAAGGTCATACAATCAGAAACCCATATCTCAAATTAACTCAATCCCAATTGGTTCGGGTATTATTTGTTTTCTGATCATAAACTGTTTTAATTTAACAAAATATAAAGCAAGATTTTAATCTAACAAAATTAAAAGGAAGTCATCTGATCATCCAACTCAAACCCAATCGGACGATTGTAAAACTGTATTTTTCTGGGTTGAATTAACAGAAACTAATTCAACCAATGAAACATAATTAGTTTAATTTTATTTTTATCCAAAATTGACCTATCCCCACCCTTTCACACAATCACACCTGTGTGGCGTAATGGAAAAGTTAAGTGTCGCCTATCTGACTTGAAATGGTCAAATTTAAAAGTGGTCATTACAGCATTATTAGCCAAAGGTATCATCAGTCAACACTTATATATCTAATGAATTTGACCATTGCATTGGCATATGCCGCTTGGGTTCATCAACTGAAACATCCAAGAACTGTCACTTGAATGGATTTTTTTATATCAAGGATTTACCTCTTAACATCTAACTGCGTAAAAGAAAAAAACACAAAATATATTTACTGTTAACTTAAGTATCTCAAAAACTAACCCACATTGAATCAAATATAGATGCATCCAACTTTTTTTTATTTTCCACATTTCTTTACTTTGAAGAGCAAAATCCGAATTTCAAATTTCAGATAAGGAGTGAACCCCTGGCCAGGATTGCTAGTTAATTTCTAATATCAATATCTAATAAAGCTATAATTTGCGTCCATTATTGTAATACCTGGGCTGTTGTAAGCCATGAACTAAATACAGATATTTTCTTGGATGAAATTTTATACTTGAACACCCATTTTTCTTGCCACTGAATTGAAAAGTTTTCTTAAATCCTCCTTTACTCCGCTATCCGCAAATATATACTCAACAGAATTCCTTGATAGCTCAAACATTTCCCTCCTTTCCAGCCCTAGATGATAATCAAACACGCATGCAGTCAACAAAACTTAGTCAATTGATGTAAATTTCATGGGTGCAATAGCAAAGTGAAACCTACCAAATGATTTAGCAGCAATTTCGTATTCAGCGGAGAGACAGGTAGAGAACACACCCGAGTCATCAGTACACAGGGCTAAGGGATGTTTTGCGTTATACAAATCAGCTGCATCAGCAAGGGCATAGGTTAAGAGAAGCTATTTTTTGAAGCTGGTCCCCAGATGAAAAGTTTATATACAACTCTTAAATGACTTTAGACTAGATAAGCTTCTCTTTGCAAAATATAAAAACATTACATTTTATACCAAGCACTTATAGGAAAGCCATCTTTAAGAGGATGAAAAACGGGGTTCTAAAAGACTGGCTAAAACTTCTGAGTTCTCCAAAAGTTCTTTATTTATTAATGTGGTCTAAAAAGTTCCAACAACAAAAGAAGCTAGCCAAAACCCAAAATCACTTTCAAGCCTACAGCTGATTTTGTTTAAGTTAAACAAACAGTTCCTTCGTTGATTCTATAGTTATGATCATCAATTTTAACAATGAACAAAAGCACCTACCAAAATGGTGAACATCTATAGATCGAACGGACAATGTCCTAACGTTTGATGTCAAACAAATTTCAACCTGAAAATGGTGAAGATGAAATAAACAATATGTAACTTAACTGGCTAGAAATTGTAAAGCGAGATTATATTAAAAACTCAAACTTGGCCACAATCAAAAGTCTTGAGGGTTGATCACTGAAAACAAGTAAACATAAGAGTTTAATTCATTCAAGATCAATTTAGACTTCAAATTTCACAATTAAATTCATGCTTGAAATCTCCCTTTTAATTTCCCAGGCAAATCATAATTTACTTTCACTATCTTACTATAACTATAAGGCTTGCAAAAATGTCTAACCGGAATTCTAGAGGACTTCAGCTTTCTCCAGTGCTCATCCTCAAAGAAACAAGCATGTCCAATCCTTTGGGGATGAAAGTCAAGCATATTATGTATCTCCTTTGAATTAGGTACCTAAAAACACTAGGTCGGAAAAATAAACCAGTCAGGGAAACTCCAAGATTAACAGGTAAGAGCTAAAGATTAGCCCACCTCGCCGCAGTGAAGTGTCACATAAAGACCTTGTTCTCGAGCAAATTTCAATGCTGGCAAATATGTAGTCCTACAAAAGTTAAATAAAAAGGGATTTTGAGCATGTGCATCAATTTTCAAAATGTAAAATGATTACTACACTAGATTCCTAGATCAGGTTGATGTACCATTCACCAATCTTTGGATTTCCAGAGAGATCAATTCCAACTACCCCAAATTGCCTCATTTCCAATGCAAGCTTCACCTGCAGAAAAGAAATGTAATGTTTAAAGGCAGCATCCAACAAACAAAAGTTCCCCAAATTATTTGCTCATTTTTTCTTACAGTTTCCATTGCTGCTTCCGTTGTCTCTCTTCGGTCAATGCTCAAGAGAAGCCTAGCAACGATTCTTTTTCTAGCATTTCCATTACTTCTATCATGCGTAATCATCGGTAGAGAATCAAAAGGACTTATAGAATCTTCAATATGCGGAATGAAAGACACATCAACAGAACTGACTGATCTTAGACCTTTCAGCACAGCTTCAACATAAGAGCGTTTGCTCATTCCTTTGGAATCATTTCTCTGAAAAAAATCAAGCAAACAGTTTCTTCATCAAATCAATTTTCACTCTATTTCAAGACAACTGAAATTAAAACACTCAGAATTACACAACTGAACTCCTTCAATTACCTTCGGTGTAGTTCTCAACTCCAGGTAGATAACATTATCCGATGCAAAATCCTCAATGACCTGCTTTTAGGTTTCATCACTAGTATAAATGAAAAGACAATAAATTCGGCAACCACAAAATTTACATAGCGAGCAAGCATCCATACTTCTCTGGTAATTCTTGTAACCGTGTCATGATTAGTAGTAAGAATGTGGATTAAGTCAAACAACTTGAACACTTCTGTTAACGAACGATTAGCTGCATCTACAACGACAAAATTAACAACCCTTCAATCAAGAATAGGGGGATAAAAATAAGAATAAACAGAAACGAATTAAGACCTGTTCAGCACAAAATTTAAATTAAAAAAAAAATCCAGAAGACAGAAAAAATCACGAAAGCAACTGAGTAAAAGCATATCCTCGATCTTCCATTTCCTTAAAGCAAATTCTGATTCATGTATAGCAATATGATTTCCTTTATCCAGTTATGAATTTTCGGTTTTTGTTTTTTCCTGTATTGAATTTAGTGATTTTCTTTGGAACAGGAAGCACTGAAAAGAAAGGCTTAGTGATGTGTGTAACAATGAAACGTGAACATAAAATTAAAAATCGATACGAAGCAAAGCGAAGGCGGGTTGAAAGACGAGAAGAATAAAAAAAACGTAAGTGAGTGACACGTTAGTTAGCGGTGTTGTCTTTTCAAGGTGTGTTTGGGCAACGAAACAGGGGAATAAACGAGAAAGGCATACATTTGAGGATGACATCTTCGACTTGGGAGAATTTTATGACACCCTTTTGGCCCAAATCCTTGGCGAGTTCTCTGCGAAAATAGTAATAATTAAGGGTGTTTGGGAAGAGAAAGGGAGAGGAATTGAGGGTGAATGGTGATAGATAAGTGAAGAAGAGTTACAAGAGTGTGGAGTCTCGAATGGATCCATTGAGGTGAGCATGCAGTTCTATCTTTGGCATTGAAATGAGCCACTCCCTCTCCATCTCTCTCTCTCTCTCTCTCTCTCTCTCTCTTCCGAGTCTGGTCTTTGCTATGTTGAGTTGAAGAATGAATGTAACTGACAGAAAAATGATGGGATAGCTTGCTTATGTACATGGCTCAGTCAGGGTCACGCAAACCCATATCGCCAGGACTTTTTTGTTCACAAACCAATCTCCATTTTCTCTCTTCTTTTTAAATTCTAAATCTAATACTATCAATTTTCTTTAATGCTACTCCCTCTTTCAAGTATCATATCAGTTCACCTTTTTTATTTATTTTCACTTTTTTAAAAATATTCTTTTAATTAATTTTTAAAATTAATTTAAATTTATTCATCCTCTAATTACTGTCATAATTTAAATACTTTTAATATTATTATTTTGATTAAATTAAATTATTTTTTTGAACAAATTTGATAAAGCTAGTTATTTTTTTTCAATGTGTATTGATAGTAAGTGATATCTGATTTGAGATAAAAATAATAATATAATATAAAGTATAAAATGTAAACTCACATTTTTAAACACTTATGAATGTATTAATATGATGAGAAAAGAGAGATAAAAAAAATGAGAAGTTATAAATTAATGTAAGTCTTCTTTAAGAGTTGAAGTCTTCAGTTTAATTATTTAAAATATCCTTAACAATTTTGGAAATTTTAATTAGGTTTTTGTATTTAGGAAATTCGAAAAAAAAAACAATTAAACATCTAATTTAAAAAACAGAAAATTTATAAACTTACACTTTTAAAGTACAAAAACTTGTTTATTATTAAATAAGTGAATCGAGTGATAAAGTTGTTTTTATTTAATATACAATATTGAGTTCGAATCTTATAATCTTTTAGATATATATATATATATATATAAACTTGTTTTGAAATCTTTAAATAGCTTTCATAAACTTGTAAATTCATTTAACCGTTAAAATATTATAAACCAACTTCGAAAGGATATTTTTCTTTTGTCTTTTACTTCTAATCCTATCAATAACTAATTTTTCACATCTTATTATCAATTTCTTTAGCGCAAAGTTGCTAATAGATACTCTAAACACTTTTTGTTAATACTCTTCAAATATATAATTTTTAAAATTTAAAACAATATAATTTAAGAATATTCCAAAAATATATAATTCGCTATTTTGCTTACTATACTTATAATTCACGTTGAAGTAGGAAAGTCGAAATTGGTAACTATGACAAGCGCGGTTTTTACTGTGACTTTTTTATGTAATATTGCATGGCTTACTAGTATTATAATGTTTTGTTTAGAATGTGAATCATTTAGTAGAATTATTCTTTATTATAATTTATTGCGTAAAATTTTTTATTGTGATGATTTTACTTTTTATTAATTTTATTTTAAATCTTATATTTGTTTATTATTTTATATAAATTTCTATATTTATATTTTAAAAAATAAATTTTCAAATAATTTCATCATGTATATAATTATTTAAAAAATATATTTTTATTTTATTATTAAGCTTTATAAATTATTTTAAAATAAAATATTTGTGCGTTATCCGGTTTGTAACTAGTTAAGTATTATTTCGAATCAATTATAACTATATAATATTTTTATCTTTTATTATAAATACATCGATTTGCAAAAAATCTGAATACATAAATGTATTTATTATTATGACGTCTTGTAAACGTGTCGTTTGATTTGAATAGTAAACTTTTTCTAGGTGGAGAAATCATGTGGTCTATTTTGAGTGAACCTGATATTGTTGTGTCCTCTAAGAATTTTAATAAATGATGCTTTTTTAAGAGATTATTAAAATTAATTTTTAAAGAAAAAATTAGGAGAATCTTGTGTAAAACTTTTAAATTGAGCCATCCAGCGTGGGTTAATACGATTCCAAACTAAAGTTAAACAATTCCATTAATGGTTAACTTTTTTTAATTAATTCCGTAACTCATTCTAAGTGCGCGTGTGAGTTATATTTTTTCATGAAAAGTTATTATTTTCTTATAAAAAATTAAAAAGTTATTTAAAAAAGCATATAACCACTCATTTTTTGAGCTGTATGTCAAAAACAGGATAGTCCAAACTTTTACAGAAACAAAAACTTGTATTCCCAACCTTTCCAATTTAACTTTTCAGTAACTGGTAATTTTTTCACAGTTTAAACAATTGATTAAAAATTTATTTTAAAAGATTTAATATTATAGTTATTAATAGTAAATATTCCATTGTATTAAGTGAAATTAGATAAAATGATGAATTTTAAATTGAAAATAAATATTAAGTTAAAAATTAATGTATAAAAAATTACCTTTTTTATAAGCATAAAAAATTACTTATATGATAAGAAATAGAATAAACTCTTAAAAACATTTTATTTAAAAAATAAAAAATTTATATTTACAAATTTTATGTAAATATTGATTAATTTTTATCATTTAATATGTTATGGCAATTGAAATAGTTAATTTTATTGTTAGCTAAAATGGAGTTTTAGTGCTCTAAAATTTTATTATTTATCATTTTTTAACTTATATTTTCAGTTTTTTATTTTTATGCAGTCTTTTTACGTAAATGTATTGTTTTTTTTTTTTAATATAAAAGAACATGAGAAGTTTTCAAGTCAAATTTAAAGGACTTAATACTAATATTCACTTGCAGTTATGACTTCCGTTAATTTGAGAAAATTAGCATATGACAAGGTTTAGGCATATATAAACGTAATTAAGCCTTACACTACTAAGTCAAATTTTTAAATTGTTATAAAGTATATTTGGTAACACTGATTTAGTGAATAAAGGGATTAAATAATTAAAATTTAAAAAATATTTGAATATTTTATTTATTTATTTGATGGTATAAGGTGATGTGCTTGTTGGGAAATATGTATATAATGGAAGAAATTACCAAAAATAAGTCGTATCAAACAATTGTCTAACGAATCAGAATTGAGCAACCATTTCCTGTAACTTTATAGGAATGACTTGTGGATGTGACTTCTTCTTTTCGATAAAGAATTAAAGAGATTGTCAAATGTCAATGTTACAGGTTCAAGTGCACTAAAGTGATTGTACAACACCAATTAATATACATTGCATCTTCTTTGTGTTTTCTTACGGGTGCATGTGGTCTGTCCATAAAAGGTTTTGACTCCACCGTGTGTCCCCCCTCTTCATCCATTGCAGATTATTCCACGTAACCTCCCACTATTTTGGTAGTTTTATCGAGTTTTCTTCTTCCTATGTTTTGTTTTATTTAGTATATTCATAAATTAAGTGCCCCATTAGAGTAAGGTTAACTAATTTAAGAGAAAATTACATTAATATATAACTCTTGTGTATTATTTTTTCTCATTAAAAAAAATGTTACCATAGGCAATTAAGCAACGGTTAAATTTCAATAATTCACCTTTGCGCTACCTTTTAATTCCGGAATTATTATTTTATAACGATGTTTTATGTGTGTAAATCGTGACAAATAAACAAAAGTTGAGAGATCACCCTACTTTTTCATCCAACCCAATTACATTGATTCTAAATAAAGCGTCCATTCTAATTTATTAACGTTGTTAGCAAGTGATATATATTGGATAAATTAAGTATTTATTTTTATAACGTATTCTACTATGTGTTTCTATAACGTTTAAATTATAATCATTTATTTAAATTTTGTTCATATATACGTCATAACAGGAATCATTTATGTAACCGCTTATTGAAGGAAAGTTTGGTGTAAAAAAAATTGTTCATGAGAATTTTATTTTTTGGAATTCATGTGTTTAAAAATTGTATTTCTCATAAATCTTAGAAATATATTTTTTATATTTGAAATATTATTAAAAAGTTTATAAAATGTTTAAAATTATTTTAATCTTGCATATGTTAATATGATTTAGATATTACCATTGAATACATGGATCATCTTATAGAAGTTTTATCGTTTATCATTATTTTATTGGACTCAAACATAATCATTTTCAATAAAAATATATGCAATTAAACTTAAAAAATTTAATTTAAATATTACTATTATTATTTTAATATCTTTTAAATTTTATTTGTATATAAATATGTGTGTGTTTTATCTTAAAAAGATAATATTATATAACAAATAATTTTAATAAACTTATTTTTATATATATCAAAATTTTCAAAATAGTTGTAATAAATAACACTTCTATCTAACTCAACTAATGTGGGTGGTAATTACAAAATTTGTGTCCCTTCAAATAATTAAAAAAATGTTATAAAGTCACATTATTATTTTCTCAATTTACTTGTGAGGTTGCCAAATTTCAATTATCACCCTTCAAATAATATTAAATTATAAGAACAAGTTAATAATAGATATTTAGATAAATAATAAGATGAAAAAATAAAATAATTTATATTTATATTTACATTTAAAAGTTATTAAAGAGTATTATTATATTTTTATATTAATATTTTCGTAAAAATCTTAAATTTCTACTTATTTTACATTATTTTAGAATCTTGATTTAAGAAATAGATTCCTAAAAAACTGATTTTATACAAATGTATTTTATAAATTTATATATATTCAAAATATCAAAATTTTAAATAATCTCTTTCAAATATTATTTTATATTATTTATCTCGTAAACAACAAATAAATTTTTTTGTTGCTTAGGGTTTGGAATGTTAAAAAAAAATTAAAGATTTCGTGCTTTTTCACTTTATTTTTCTAAATCGAACAAGTTTTTCATACAGCTAATCTTTCATTGTGTTCTTCACCTTAACTAATTTTAACTTTAACATTATTTAAATTCAACCATAAATATCATATGTATATTATTGAGATTTTTTTTGTTATGATAAAATCAAATTGAATAACAAATTTTGAAATTTCATTATAATGATGGGGATTATATATTCAAAATTTCAAAAATAAGTTATTATACTGTTTAGATGTCGTCGTAATTGAGCATGTTTCCTACTTTAGAAAAATGATGCCTAAAATGAAAAGTAAATTATATTACAATAAAATAATTATGAATTAGGAATTACAGTTTTTATGTTATTATTATTATTATTCCAAAGAGGGGATCCTTTGTTGCTACAAGGTGTCCCAATGTAAAGTATGTAAACATGTGTATGGATAGTATGCATTTGCACGAACGCTCGTGTGTGTGTATTTTTATATAAAACAATTTTTTATAAC